TTTCGGAGTTACGGTCTAGAAGTTTTTAGGATTAGGAGCTGGAGTCGAGAGATCTTAAGGTGAGGAATTAGGTTTTTAAAAATGTAGGGCTGAGAATTCGGGTCTATCCTGATTATAGAACAATGATATCCAGCCTAAATTATCGATATTTAGCACTAATAAGTTCATTAATTATTTCGAAACTACTAATCCTTGGTGATTTCATTATTTTTCTATATTTTAGAGCTCTCACACAACAACTGCATTCTGACTGGCTATTTTTGATTGGTTAATTATAAGGCCATCCTTAAATTCGCTTAAGGCTGTCTGTATAGTATAGTTTCACCATTAACGTAATCTATTTACTTAGAACAGGTTTATGTTCAAGATACACGGTATATTCGACAAAGTGAACGTTTCGTTCACTTTCGCAAACATAAACGTTAAATATTAAAAGATATGTTATGACTGATTTGAATGCACGTAGACAACCACAGACACAAATTCGTTTGGAAAGACATCGAAAGTTTGGTTGAAGATACCCGATATATCGACTCATACAATAAAGGTCAATAAACCACATAATTAAAGGTTAACTGGAAAGAATAGTTAACTTAAATAAAAGAACTGATGCTTGGTACCTGTGTGGTTGCGCCACAGGATTGAGCTGTAGTATTCAGATTGTAGCGTTAAAGCCTATACCGTGTCTGGTTCCGCTGCTAAACGGAATTAAGCTGTACTGTTTGGGTTGTTACGTGAAAGTTCGGATGGTGTCTGGTTCTCCTGAAAACCAATGTAAAATTACCCTGGCCCACAAGGGTATATTATATATAAAGAACCTACGAATACAACCAATCACAAACAAGGCTTTCAGAACAAAAAAAGCTTATGACTCGTGGAATAAGTAAGAGGGTCACTTCTACATGAATCAAGCGCTGATTATGTTGCCCAGAAATACAATTAAATCATGTAGAAATTTAGACAGATCAACAACACTAACAGGCTTATGTACTCGACTTTGGGATGAAGTATATAAGGTAAGATTCGATACCAAGACCTAATTGGATGAGAATCGGGTACTTCAATGAATACCAAATAATTGTTTCACAGTGCATAAATCAATCGACTATCAAATTTGCGACAAATTATTATAATAGAAAAACAGTAGTTTACAGGTTTTGATCAAAACACCAGAGATTATATAATACACAATTCACCTAATCATCTAACTATTCAACAGAGTGCCAGAATTAAGCCAGAACAAGGTTTTATTTTTAAAAAAAAAACAGAAGGGAGATGTCAGTAAGTGGAATCATAGATCAATTCTTATAAATAAGTGAACAATTCAATAACCTACTGTACAGTATAGGACGATTAACTTACTCGATTACTAGGTGGGAATGCATTCGGATTATTATTTAAACCATACAATACACTTAACGCATTTTCATGATTGGTAAATGCAACAAATCCATAGCCAAGTGAACGATATTGTTGTCTGCCTGGTTGAAGATTACGCATAATACGGCACTGATGATAAGATTGCAAACCAAAGAAAAGGGAACAAAATAAACCGTAAAAACAATTTTGTAAAGTTACAGTATAAAAATAACAGTAAAAAATTTTATATATTCAATTAGGTTATGAACACAGTGGATTCCAACCGGCAGATCAGAAGGCAGATATCAGCTAGATCTATGTGGTTTTGACACGAGAAGTTCAATATAGGTCAATACGCCTAGCTCTTCGATTACTAATCGTCTATTATAAGATCAAAAGTATCGAAAGCTCTAAAACAAAAGACTAGTACATCATGAGTAAAATAAGATGTTGATTAAAGACGTCTCATAAATCGCATACGATCAACTACAAAAGTAATGATTTAACGACATTCAGGCTGAGTGGTGTTCATGTTAGATTTCTTTGAAGGTGGTTTCAAAATTTCAAAGGAGAATCCTAGAAAATCCACTTCTTACATGAGCTTCTGTTTTTTTTTAATATCTCCTGCAAATTCAAGAATCTAAAAACAAAACCACACATATTTCAACCATACGATATGTTCGAAATGATTGAAAAAATACAATGTAACTCATTTAACCAAGAACCAATGTATTTCTCTAAACAAACCTTTTCATTCCATCTTTTTAAACCATATTTCAAATATAATTTTCACATATAATGACATATTCTCAGTGTTTAATCTATCTCGGTAGCATTGCTATTATAATCTTTTCGACTACTATGTTATTCATCTCGTTAATTTTATCCCATGGTGCTAATATGGTATGAGAAAGTAAGCTAAAGCAAATTTATGCCAGATTGTATGTTGATTATGACTGAATGACAGTTTTGTATAAGGGGTACAGACACAACTCAGCTGCCGAAATCGAATTCAACGGAGTGTGGTTCGAACCTGCAATATAGGGGTTGGTAACCGAGAATTTTAACAACTAAGGTACTGAAAATATACATATTTAATTACTGGATCATGGGTTTAGATCTCATTCTTACCGCCGTTTATTATCTCCTGTACTGATGCAACATGTGTGTATCTAAGTTTAGGACGCAACCTTGTACTTAGTTATCGTCCAATAACTACCAGTAAATATATAAAAAACGCCAAACGTATGAGCAAACCGAACCTTAAAAACTGACCATAACAATACTTAAATAAAAACACGTCAGTCATACATTCTAAGCGTACTCACTTCTAAAATTCGGTGGTCTGTACTTTTTTTTAGAAATTTCATGCAAGCAGACTTTAAGTCATCATCGGATACATGTAAGGGTAGATTACGTAGACACAATCGAACATCACTAATAAAATAATTTGGATCAGTTAGTTTTTTCTTTTTCTCTCGCAGTAATGCATCCCTTCTGGCTAAATCTTCTTTGCTTAAACCTTCAGCTTCAGATGACCCAGGACGAATAACTATATGAAACAAGAGGAAAACGATAAAACGTAAAATAAATATTTTGATTCAAAAAATGGTAAAGAGGGAAGAAATCGTGTAGAAACGATGTATGTCAGTCTTTAAATTCTTCCTCCTATTCACTATTGTGAATAAAGTTTGAAAGGACTCCCCTCTCATTCATGGTTCATAATACAGACTGATCTTGGACAAGCATTGAAACCCAATAAGCATTTAACAGTTGCTTTGTCCTGAAAGTGGAACAACTCAGCAGTACACATTCACGGAAATACCGGAGATTGAACCCAGGATCTTCAAGTCTCGCACTAAGTGGTTAGTTTTAGCCATATTGTAAGTGTAGAGGCTAGTGACGATAACTGGTTGTATAAGCCGGAATAGGTGAAGCGGAGTTTGAATATGCAACTTGGCGGCCGAAATTCGAACACATCACACGAGGTTCTCTTTAGCGGAGCACCATTCGACAACTACAGTATAAATTTATAATCCAAACCCTCCCCTATATTAATGCACAGTTTCTCACCCCTTCCTACCCCGTGAACTTCTCAAAACTTTTGCCCGATAACATTAGTAATTTCAAAAATGGTATGATCAGTTATTATTGTTTTAGTGTGAACATGAAAGCCGGTAATTTGTGTGATCACTATCTTTTTAAGAGCAGTGAGCTCTGGTAATCACCAGTCAGGATTTGTTCAGTCAGCTACGCCTTTAAATATTTAAGCGACAAAAATTGTCAGTCAGTAACAACGTAAACTTCGTGCGTACGTACATTAGTTCGAGTTGCCACACCACATTAGCACAGAGATGCAGTTGTCGACTCAAATCCCGTAGTGGTGGAGGCGGTAAGAGTATAAGCAGTAATCGGAAACATTAGGGTTTGTAGATGGTATTCAAGGAGTATAATCCAGTGAGATAAATTTTGAAAGAGAAAAAACAGAAAAAAAGAAATAAATAAAAGAAGGGGACATGAATAGTTCAAAGACTAGAATTTAGAAGAACACAAAGAGTCGATACACCTGCGCCATTGCAAACCATTTTGAGCCATGTCATTCAAGGTCTTTAATCATCGGTTGCTATCGTCTCGCGGATCCCAACCAGGTAGTCTACACCTACCAACATGGCTCAGTCCACTTGTCAGTGACTTCATGGATTTGTGCCATGTTTTGGTCTGGACGCCCCTAGCTTTCTTCCAACCAACTCATAAACCGTAAAACGTCGCACATCGAGGCAGCCGATGGTTGGGCATACGTAACACATGTCCCAGCCAGCTCAACTGATGAAGTTTCACTACTTCATCAATTGATTTGCTATCCTTATCTAGTACCCGTTCCCTAACAACTGCACTACTTACTCAGTGGTCCCAGGATATGCGAGCAATGCTTCGAAGACACCTATGATCGAACACTAGTAACCTACGAATATTCTCTACTCTTACCGGCCATGTTTCACTGCCATAAAGTAGGACGGAACGAACTGCTGTACAGTAAACTCGTCCTTTGGTTGGTAGATGGACAAAAATTGTGCACCTGAACATATTGAGCATATACTTCAGTAGCACTCGAACCGGCAGCTTTTTTTAAATATTTATGGTTATAACCTCAAAATTATCATTAGGGATGAGGAAAAACCACAGTCGTTATAATGTCGGCCGCCAACTTCTATCTCAAAGCTCCGTGTTGAACGGATAGGGTCAAGATAAAATATAGGACCAGTTTATAAAGTTACTAACTAGTGATTTGAGATAAGTAAGAAAGTGAAGACTTTCTGGTTAGGGTGTACGTAGCAGTCTTAAACTACGGTTGTACTGATACGATGTGCAGAAACTTTACTTTCATGTTATCTGCGAATGACTAACATTGATCTTGTAAGTAGATTTCAAAAATACAGCATATGTTAATGGCATGGAATTCTTTGCTTTCAGTTCAAACACTGAAGGCTAAGACACTCCTTTTGAAGTTTAGATCCTACACCGTAAGTAAGTAAATTTTCCTGTGAACAAACAAGCAAATCAATGATACCATATCTCGACTTAACTTTATACGAAAAGAAGTCGAACAAAAAAGTGGAAGTTCCCCAATTTTAACCGAAATAAGTAAATTTTTCTTCCAAATATTTGTGAAGAATTTCCCTTCGTTTTATTTGAAAATTGACTGTGATGTCATAAAATCTAATCATATTTGATAGTGATTTTTATTTATATCATAATATTCATGTAATTTCCTCAACTTAAAAGATACCAATATTTAAAAAATTTATAATGTTTTTGTAAACCTAATCACTAAGTATGAGTCAGATAAAAGAGCCAAAAGAGGAAGTTTAGTGTTGAAAGTTGATGTACGATGAATAATCGGCATTGAAGAGTGAGGTTGATTATGAACACAGTGGTTTTGAGTGCTGTTAGAAGTATGAGGGTGATTTTCGATTCCCGGTTGCCCACACCGTGGAAGCGTTTTTCTGGAGGCACCTGAAAATGAAATTGGATTAGGAGTGGTCTCAGTGACCTGAGAGCGTGACCGCAGTGCCCAAGGGATAACTGCTTGAGGTCGGTCACACACGACCTTTTCGTGAGTAGTTTTCGTGTTAGCACCTTGTTGAGACCTTACCGCCGGAGACGGATATCCGTGGGATAGGGCGAGGTGTGCATTTTTAGGGTCGACCTTTTCTAACACCACCACTTCTTCTGGGAAGGCAGCATCGCTGTTATGCTGGTTGTATGAAGGAAACACCTTACTGCTGTCACACCTCTGTACAATCAGCAGTAGGACTTCGCTTTCGGACCTTGAGTTTTCTGCTTTTAGTCCTACCGTTCTTTAATCGATCTGTCTGGCATATTAGAACCTAGAAAAACGATTGTTCCAGCCAGTATAGCTTGGTTGCTTCATCACGATAGGCAAGCCCGACCACCACGTCAAGGTAGTAACAACGGTCGGGACTGAGTATGAAACCGACTATAGTGTATAAAATTCTGATAATGTAGGTTTACAAAACACATTTCATTAACCTGAAAGCATGGCAGAATCCTGCTAATAAATAAATAAATGGAAAAATATGACAACGGAAATAATCGACCTGTAAAAGTTGTATTATTAAAGTGGTCGTCATTATATGAACCGAAGCTAGATGATTTAAAATGCGTACACACAGGAAGATTATTGACTTACTTCCAATAGATGCTAAATGCAAATTACGTCCTTTCTGCTTTATAGCATCTGCAGGACCTATAAAACCCTCTGGAGCATCATCTTCGTGTTTCCTTTTTCGTAGATTTTGTGCCTCTGTTCTAGAAACAGCAATTGTTATGTTTAAAGTTCGGTTTTCCAAAGAAAATTGATGAGCGTTCTAAATAAAAATAGGTCCGTTTTATTATGGAATTGAGTATATTTCTTATAAAGTGTAATATAGTACACAACTTATCAATAAAACATAATCTATTTCAACTAACCTCAGGTTTATCAGATTGTTGTAAGACATTTGATGCATCCTCAGCATTTACAAACTTTACAAAGGCTGTACCTCGGGAATGTTGTGTTGCTGGATCTTTAACTATTTTCGCAAATTCTAGGGGTCCGAACTGTGAAAAAAATTTGTGCAACGCATCTTCTTCCACATCAAACGATAGGTTTCTGAAACAATACATGTACAGAGCGATATAACCGGTATTAACGGCAATTGTTTTCAACACCATACTTGGAAGAAAATGCAAGTTAACAAAACAATAACTGAAGTGAAAGAAGTTGGTTATGACAGAGCGAAATATCAACCAAAGTAATCATGACTGTTCCTTAAGTACAAGGGAGTGTGAAGATTATTGAAGTTATCACAATTGATTGATCACTGGGTGGTGATCAATCAATTGTGATTACATCTCAGTCCTACAGGAGGTTAGTCACGGCTCGGATAGCTCAGTGGTAACGTCTCTGACTGTGAAGCTGGTTGACACGAGATCGAATCCGCCAGGGAACACCAGTTCCCTCAAGATTACAGGTACACCTTGCTGACGAGTGCCAAGTAGCACGAAACCCGGGTCCAGGGTTTCCTGTTGACTACCTCCAACTACCATCTAAATTATTGAAGTTAGTTTGTGATGCAGAACTACAAAAGTACCACTTCATAAGCATTTCATTCACTGGAAAAAGTGCTTATAGCGTATAGTCTTTCAAACGCTTGTGACATTTAGTGTCGAATAATTGGGTTTTGATAGGATCATATCAAACGGAAATGGAGCACATTAAGATAGATTCTTAAGAAACAATATACATGACGAGTTAGACTGTCTAACCAGATCTTCATTTAAAAAAGGATAAAATGTTTAGTTCATATATTTTAAATAAAATAGTAATATGCAGATAATGCTAAGTGACTCTTTAGTTGACAGAGCTATAAAACGTGAAGATCGCTGCAGAATAGGCAATAACAATGCAAAAAACGCAACAGAAATAGTTCTTTCGAGGTTCTTTATAACAAGAAGTCAAAACTAGTCACCAAGTTTTTGTCACATTCTGTTTATAATCCTGGGTTACAAAATGTCGATCAATTACTTTAAAGAACTCAAATATAACGTTAATTGGTAGTATGTCTTACTTAATGTAAAATCTGACTAGATCACCGTAAGCATATCGTACTCATTTATAGAATGGACACGACGATATACTTGTTAAACCGGTCAAATCTCTAGTTTGGACGGAGCATGTTATGAACTGTAGCAAACATACTAAGCATAGTTTCACTGAAATGCGTTGACCATTGAATTTTTTTACGGTGCATAAATAAAGTATTAGGCAAAATGATACACATTGAAATAATTAAGGTCACAAATCGAGAATGAAAATTGGATAATAAACATTAAAAGCCCAAATAAACAGGAAAAATGTAAATGTATCTGCACTACTTTAGTGTGCAATTATCAATAATGTCTGTAATAATAATAATTTCCAAAATAAAACAGCACTTCGAAATGTAGTGGACTACGCTAAAAGTAAGATTATGTATGCCAGATGTCCCAACAAACAGAATTGCTCTATCAATCACATTAAAACTTTTCACATGCTTAACAATTGGCTGCGAACCGAGTGAGGTATATTTGTTGAGGCAATTAATTCCAAAAATAATCTTTAGAAAAAACTAAAAAACTATCAAAATCAATAACAAAAATAAGTCTTAAAAGTCTCCAATCGCTTTCATAAGTGCTGACCATGATAATAATATCCTCATATGTACAGTAACCCGACCGAAGCTCCTACCTTGATGTGGTGGTCGAGCTTGCCTATCGTGATGACCCAACCGAGCTATATTGGCTGCAATATATGTTCCTGTAGGTTCTACCATGCCAGGCAGGTCGATTGGAGAACGTCGAGACTAAAAGCAGCAACTCAAGGTCTGAGGGTGAAGTCGTACTGCTGACTGTAGTGGGGTGTGACAGCAATAAGGTGTTTCCTTCGGACAACCAGCATCTACAGCGATGCTGCCTTCTCACAAGGAATAAAAGGGTTAGAAAAGGTCGACCCTAAAAATGCCACACCTCACCTTACCGCACTTATATCCGTCTCCGGACCCTTTGAAGAACGGGGCTAACACATTAAAAACCTTCCACGAAAAGGCCGTGCGCGACTGGCCTCGAGCAGTTGTCCCTTGGGCTTTGCGGTCACGCTCCCGAGTCGTTAGGACCAACATTAACCCATCTTCCTTTTCAGGTTCCTCAAGAAGTACCCTTCCACGACGTGGACAGCCGGAAAGTGACATCAACCTTCATCCTCGTAACAACACACGAGACTGAGTGACCTTATCGCGGGAAGCAAAATGACCTTATATTAGCATTACGTGTTTTATGATGATTTGGGTGTTAACGCGTCCTATTTTTTGCCCCTCTAAAACTGATTGTCTGAGGCAGCAGCAAAAAGGTCAAGAATCCGCGATCAAATATGCTCAAAGTGGGATTCCATTTATCTCCATTGAGTGATCAGTGACTAAAACACCTTGTTCGATCAAGTGGTATCGGTCCCATCAGTGTGCCCCAATCTCCCCATTTTGAGGTCCCCCCAATTCCAATGACAATTGGCAGTTTTCCCCAAAGTTTTGGGGGTTTCCTAAGACCTAGGGAAATTTTGGAGTTTCTGTGCTATTTGGATATCCAAGACTCTCTTTAGTTGTTCCCCTAAAACGGAAAACTTTTCTCTCAAAATAGGGACTTTGGGACACAAGAATTAACACACATCCACCGACCTACTATCCTTATGACTGAAGACTAGAATGTATCAGGTCTCCCGTGTTTAGTTTAGAGAGTAAAGTTTTGACGCAACAAATATGTACATATGTACGAATATATCCGTATATGAAATAACGTTTCGACGAACTACTGATGTTTAGTGTCTATAGATGAAATATGCCTATAAGAGTATCTAAGCATATTATCATGCTGTACAGCATGATAACGTTGTGGTGAGTAATTATAATTACTCACCATAAGTCAATATTACTGACTTCATTATCCAAAACGTCCACGAGGTCAAAAAATACTTTTTGTTTAGTTTAGTGGTCTACACTATATTTTAAACAATAGAACAAGATCAATATTACCTGATAAATATCGTTCTACCTTCTGAAGTATCGGACACCATGAGACACTAAATGCCCTTGAAGTGTTCTCAAGGACGCACTACGACAATGTAACGTCAATTTATGATAGGTTGACGCACATTCCAAAGTACACTTCATCCTAAATATGGCAGCATTAGTGAAAAAACCTGGAAATACAAAGAACAGCTAAAACATGATTTCAGGAAGGGTCATTCTTGTATAACCAACCTGCTGACTGTGGTGGATAGATGGACAACCATCCTTGATAGCAAGGGGAAGGTTGATATCATTTAACTTGGTTTCTCAAAAGCTTTTGATGAGGTCCACCGTATATGTCTTAGCAATAAGCTCAGACGATTTGGTATTAAGCCACGTCTGATTGATTGGCTCATTTCATATCTGAAAAATTGACATTCCAAGGTCATGGTTAAATTCACTTTATCTCAGGTTATGGACTGTCCTAGTGGGTTCCTCCAGAGCTCAGTACTGGGGCCTCTTCTTTTCTTCATCTATATAAACGATTCCCCACAACAGTTGTCCTCTGGCTCAATGCTTTTTGCCGATGATGTGAAAATCTGAATAGAGATACGTAACAAAGAGCAGGTAGTGACTCACATTTATCACGAGAACACGACTGGTTTAATAAAAACAATTATTATTATTATCAACTGTACCACTGCTTGTTTTAATGTGCTTTTGTTTGACTGTGCTAATGACAGCTATGTTGTGCTTCCATTCTTATTCTTACATTTTGATTGTGACTTCGCGCGAATTCGGTTACGTTCTGTAACCAAGCTTGTATCCTGGCACGATCTCGGTATCCTTTCGATACCACGAGATCGCCAGCAAATATATCTCGACTTGGTCCATTAACTGTTTTCTGATATTGGCTTCTCGGGGATTTTATGGATTTATTTGGTTACGTTCAACCTTCGCCTTCTGATTTACTTGGCATGTGTTTCTTGGTAATGGTGTTCATAGTTAGTCTCAACTCGACACCACGCTACAAGCATATACTGGCACTTCAGGAGGATCTAACTCGATTTCAAAGTTAGGCAGATGACAACGAACTCACCTTTAACACTTCGAAGCGCAAAGTAGTCCATCTGCGTCATGTTGCAGATTACAGTTACAACTTAGGCGACTTCCCTCTAGAAGTATACCAAGTTGAAAAAGATTTAGGAGTGCTGGTAACCTACGATCTGAAGTTACGCTAACTGTGACAAAAATTCCTTTCGAGCAAACCTTGCACTGGTAACATTGAAGCGCATTTTTGGCCAGTTTGACTGAAAAACGTTCCACATAATCTTCAACAGTTTTATTCATTCCCATTTAGAGGGCGGAAACATAGAATTTCCTGCCTCACTCTAATTTTTTTTTTTTTTTTTTTTTTTTTTTTTTCGGCGAGCCACGAAATCAGTTCGGGGACTCAAATTCAAGCATTATGAAGAGCGCCTCCAATCGCTTAACCTTTACCCATTAGAGTATAGGAGTGTTAGAGGTGACTTTCCAATGGCTTACAGTATCCTTAACACTTCTGGACATCCCCTTGAACACCCACTTAAGCTTAGTCCCAATAAAAAACTAGGGGGTAGCGCCCAGAAATTGGAGACACATAGCAGAACGAACTTTAGACGCAACTTCTACTCCTAAAGAGTTGTCGAATTCTGAAATTCGCTGCTGACTGAGCTAGTCCAAACGAATTCCCGGGAGTCCTTTAAGAGGAAACTTGACCTATTCTTAAAGGCTAAGGATGACACTTTATTATGATTTAGAAATTTCGTTTTTCCCTCTATTATCGTTACTATACCTACGCTGATGCTTGGAGGTATTGGTGATCCACTTCTACTAGACATGGAAGCCTGTTAAGCGAAAGCTTCTTCTATCCGTCCACAATCATTTGAACCATTTGAGGTACTGGAAGAAATTGTTCTACCCCAAACAAAGAAAAACCTAGAGGTATGTGTGCTTGTTTGTAAAAATCCATTCTTGCATATTTTCTCGTGAATATGATCCTTTGATTTTATTCGATCTTTAACCTTGGTAGCCTTTATTTTCTCTATTTATGGTTGGATTAATACTCTCCAAACTGACAGTTTTAATCCATCCAATATGACAGGATAGTGTGCTGTAGGTTGTCGAAATCTCCATTTTCCCTCAATTGGCAATAATTTTGTAAGCTAGATTGTTTAATCTTGTTTAACAACTCTGTGAACTATATAGCCTAGTCATGATATTCTTCATGATAATTCTGTACAAGTAATATTAGTGGCTTTGTGATTATAATCGTTTCCAACCCAACTACTGTGTTTTAAATTTACCTGTGGGATAGGGCTAGTATCTAACGTCATATTATGATGGACCTAGTGAACAGCGAAGGCCAGAGCTACTAGAATCCCAGGAGATTTCACAAGTGTCTGCCGTACTTATTTGGCCACACACCCATAGTCGCATATAAATCAGGAATAAATAAGTACAGTTACAAAATCAGCTCTATTTAATCAAGAAAATAGGTATGAAATACACGAATTCCATAGATACTTGAAAATCGTCGCTATGCGAAGAAACACTCCGATTTGTAAACTCCGTACAGTCGATAGTTGAAGAGTACGAGTTATCTCTCGAGTAGATAGCTTCATTCGACATCTATCTCACGCTTAAATATCTGAATAAAAGGACACTTGGTGTTCAGTGTAATAACACTGAATCCCAGCTAAACGATCAATCTCAGAACCCCTACAACAGGATATAGAGTGGTTAACGAAAATTAATTATTATTGTTAGCCTTATCCAATACTATAATTTGAGTCTAACATAGAATTTTCAGCTCAAAGTATTTCAACAATTTTCCTTTTCTTACTTCTTGATCAGTACTGACAATAAATATTGAGTGAACGCCAGTTAGAAGTTAGCATTCCAGTCAATCGATATCTAAATAATTTACGCTCTTTTCGCTGCCAGCAACCACAATATCTCTAACTGGGTCTTTTGTAGCATGTACAAAGAAAAGTTGTACACTTTTCACAAATGCAACTGAATAGTTATGCCATCAGTAACTTTAATGATGTATTAAAACAAAAAAATTGATAACGTCTTGAAATATCTGCATGGCAGGAACAGGCAGCCCAAATATAATGCTAACATTATTGAAACTTGGGTATTATTGCATTTTTGACGAAACCCGAAATGGCTACTTAACAACGCTTATGTAACCATAAAATATTTGTGAATAATAATAATAATGTTCAAGCAGGTCGCCAGAGAAGTCTGATGCGCGACTAACATACTAACCGCATGTCACATCCTAAGCAGGGATGAACATCATATTTATATTATCAATGCTCGTTTAACATTCATGCTGGAGTTTAGGAATAGAAGTTTGAACAAACTAATTTTCATTCTCTGAGGAGCCATAACTGTGTCATAGCATAATAGGGCCGCCACCCCAAAAAGCGCGTAAAGATGCAATCGTAAAGTATAGAAACGTTTTCCCATACAAGTAAGCACTAAGGACTTCGGCTTCTTGATGAATATAATTTAACGAAGTAGGATATTGCAGTATGGTAATGAATATTTAAATCAATATAGATGTTTCTGTTATAATGTCTGCCGGTTTTGCTGTTTTTCCGGGTCATTTGATCATCAGCCTCCTCCAACTTTGTCAATAATCAAACAACCACGAGTAACCGTAGTTATTGCCATGACATATATTCTTCCTCCCCATCTCAAATTCAATCTTTTATTAGTGAGATGCTAGTAGTCCGTATTGAGGAGAAAAATGTATAACCCGGTGACTTAGATAAATATATTAATCAAAGCACTTCGTATATTAATTAATTAATATCAGCCACTATCAGTTCAGTAAATTCAAAAGAACTCATAAACTAGAAGAATATAGTGACGGATAGTTCGCTATACATTCTGATGTAATCTTTATCATTTTTGACGTTGTTTAGTGCATAATTGGACCTTAATCTACAGACCTGTGTTGTCCCCTGCTTCGAGCCATCTCAGTTCTGTTCTCCTGATCAAGAAGTAAATACTGGTTATTCTTCAGTCCTAACTAACTGTCACACTCGCAGCAGAATTAGAGTTTTTTAAGACATTACAGTTGTTCGACAGTTCAAAAAATGTAGGACAACATGAATATAACATTACGGTAAGCTTGAACAAACAATCATCATAAGCAAGGCGGTCACATCATGACAACTTAAATAGCGAATTAAGACCAATGATTGAGCAGTATAAACGCGTTCATTAAAAACTGTCATATGCTCAATTCTCACATCTCTGAATAATATAGGTTGAAGGACATTAGTCTTACACATAAGATCATGAAGAAAATAACGGAAACGCAGAATTCCTCGAGGCTTTTATCTAGAACTTCCTCAACACAATGTACACAGCCGCTAAATCCGAAGTCGAAAATGACGGCTTATGAAAGTATACTTACAGCATGGGACATTTAAGCTGACAAGATATCGCATGAAATGCTCTACATGGCCTATCAAAGTGTGATCTTATGTGGACGTACTGCCAAACTTCTTTAGCTTCTGTGTGTTTCTCAGATCTAATGAATTCAGCACCATTATCAGTACTTAATACAAGTAACCCCCGATTAAGGTTCCCCAACTATCCTTGAGATGACCCTGAGCATCTGAGGTGACAGCGGACATTTTGTGTTTGAATACCACGAAGTGGCCCTTCTCTAGCATGTGTGGGTATTTCGAAAAAGGGTTTTACTGGTTGGTTATAATTATCATACATTGTTTTACCTTTAGTGGCCAAATAAAAGTTTGCGTTGTTTTTGCATTTCCTACTCAAATCCAGTAGTAAATTATCGTGCAGTTCGAATATGATTTCTGTCAAACGGGGAAATTCACCTACAATGACCGTTTATTTGTCAGAAGCTATGTAGTTGAAGAGAATCTAAAAACAGCTCTGAAACGTTTCAAGTAGACGAAGCTTAAGTACCGTTAGTGGAGACAACATTAACTAGTCGCATTCATCTACGTAGTGAAGGAAATCAAAGTCATAAGGTCCTTGCATTTCTTCAATTGACAGATAATTCCCATTTAAACATTAAAATTAAAACACGAATTTCAGCGAAGGGATCTCTTTTCAACGAATTTATTATCAAGCTGTACAATCGTATATATATGAAAATTTTGTTTTTGTAAAAGTACTAATTCCGTGAGGAAATGTGAACACAGTTAATAAAAAAAGGTTATAATACTAGATTACGTAATATGAATAATAACAATAACAATAGATTTAGTGATTATAATAAGATGATTAAAATGATTAAAATGTTTTTGATATAATAATTAAAGGTCATAGAGGTGTACAAAAATAAACTGATATGATGAGCGTTCATGAATAAAACAATGAGAATATAAAACATAAGTAAAGGGGGAATGCAGTAATAATAACATTAATAGTAGGATAATCAAACTAATTAAGGCCAAGGTAACGATAACGATAAGACGTACTAATAAGGACTAGACAAGCATGAGATTGATCACCACCCAGTGATCAATCAATTGTGATTACATCTCAGTCCTACAAGGTCAGTCACGGCTCGGATAGCTCAGTGGTAACGTCTCTGACTGTGAAGCTGGGTGACACGAGATCGAATCCGCCAGGGAGCACCAGTTCCCTCAAGATTACAGGTACACCTTGCTGACGAGTGCCAAGTGGCACGAACCCGGGTCCAGGGTTTCCTGTTGACTACCTCCAACCACCATCTAACGTACTTCTTTTGTACGCATAGTTCTGGTTTAAGCTCCTGGATGGCAAGAGCTTCGGCTATTTTTAAAAGTTGTATACGAAGAAATCTGGGTAGATTTGAACGAATCATATAAACAACCTTAAAGTCAATTTGTGGATCTGTTGAATGGTTATAGTCGATTAGGTGTTCAAGTATAGAACTCCTAACTGCTTTCCTTTCACCCTTATAGAACCAGGCTGGAATATGTTCTCGTATCCGAGTTGAAAGCGAGCGCTGGCTACGGCCAATGTACCTTGCTCCACAAGAGCAGGTGAACTGGTAGATGCACATGGAGGCGACCAGACGCGGAAGCTTATCTTTTATGGATACAGAAAATAAGTTTCTACTAGTGAAGGATATTCGCAGTTTTGCCGCGTTAAATGTTCTTCTAATAGTTGTTGTTAGACGGTTTTTGATTACGTCCGATGTTCGGTCACCTTTAAATTCCAGACTTATATAAAGGTTTTTCTTTGGAACGGAACAACTAGAATTCTTCTCGCGACTACTTTTATTCATATTCTTTTCTATGAACCGTTCTGGGTAACCATTTTCCGTCAAAGTCTTCTTCAGGAATGCGAGTTCTTCGTTAATGCATTCCGTACTGCATATGTGATGTATGCGATGGCATAAAGAATGGATAAGGTTTCTCTTCCTACTTAACGGAACCCAGCTATAGAAGTTGGTTAGCTGGCCATTCCATGTTTGTTTTCTAAAGATGGATCTTTTTAAAGAACCATTACTCGTTCTCATCAGACGTACATCGAGAAAAGGAATTGATTGGTCTTGTTCCCTTTCTAACGTGAAGTCTATGGAAGGGTGGCACGAGTTAAAGGTATGTAGAATATCATCTAAATCAATATTATTGTCACAAACAACAAACGTGTCGTCCATGTATCTCACGTACAGGTGGAATCGATTGATCATTGAACGGAGTTGGTCGTTTTCTACTTTTGCCATGAAACAGTCTGCTAAAATTGGACCCAATGGAGACCCCATTGCGATCCCATCCCTTTGTCTATATATTTCATTATTGAAACTGAACTGGACATTAAAAGTACAGCGTAACAATAATTCTTTCAAATGTTCAGTTGGCAAACCTAGATCTATATTGTTAGAATCAATATACTCACATATATAACATATTGTTTCGGTTAAAGGTACGCTAGTGAACAAAGAATTAACGTCAAGCGAGAACATGTGTTTTTCGGAAGCATTAACGTCCTTAATACGATCAATAAATTGAAAAGTATCATGAATAGAATGTTTACATACTTGCCTTCTAACCGGTTCCAATTTTTCCGCTAACCATTTGGCGATTCTGTGGTATGGAGAACTTGACATGTCCAAAATAGGTCGTAACGGTAAACCCGGCTTATGTATTTTCGGTAGTCCATATAAGCGCGGGATGACTGAACCCATGGGACGCATGTGATTATATAAATCTTGGGTTATTATCCCCTTATTCTTAAGATTTTTAACAACATCTGTTAGCTGTTTTTCGATTTGTAATGTTTTATCAACTTCTTTAGGTTTGGAGAATTTAGTACCATCCTCTAGAATTAACTTCATTTTATCCAAATATTCTTTGCGGTCAAGTAGTACTACACCAGCTCCTTTGTCAGGTTTACTTAGGATTAAATCCTTATTTCTTTTCAACAGTATTAGCTGATCCAAGTGGTTCTTAGTTAATAGGTTATTCTTACTACAATGTGCATTAACGAATCCATGACTGCAGTCCAGTAATGTGGACTTAAAGTGCTGGAGATTTTGTGGAGATGTCGGCATAAGATCATGAGTTTGATTTGATAGATTTTCGAATTGTATTTGCGTATGAAGTCTACTGGTTTTGGAGGTGCTGTTACAGAACTTGGGACCCAATGATAAGGCCTGCATTTGGACTGGCGAAAGTTTAATAGAAGAATGATTAAATACATACTTTTCTGGATGTTCTGGAAACTTTTTAGTCACGTCTACGTGTTGCAATGTTTCCAAGTGTTTACGTTTAGCTTTTTGTGACTGTTTTTCTGTAACATTAGTAACATAGTCCTCAAATTGTTTACGTTCATCTAACGACAATTCAAACAATGCGTGACTTCTTAGAGATATGTTGCGATCTAGTTCGACTTTTCGAGATTTGATAGCATCGATATAATTGAGTGCATGACGTTTGAGTGTTTTTGCATTGGGATGAATATGGTTTCGCCTTAATGCCTTCCAGAAACGTTTAGGATAATCATTATTTTCGATACAGCTTTCGAGAAAATTGATCTCACATTTCACTAACGCAAGCTTGACGGTGTAACGTAAGAACTCATTGAGCCCTTTCATCGTCATAAGGTCCTTGCATTTCTTCAATTGACAGATAATTCCCATTTAAACATTAATTATTATATCAAAAACATTTTAATCATTTTAAACATCTTATTATAATCACTAAATCTATTGTTATTGTTATGAACATATGAACAGGGGAAGGAAATACTGAACAGTGAGAATGAGTGTACCGTTACTTTATCATCAGTCTGGATGTTATATAACATGAAAGTACAAACTTTACAGAAGGAGATAATATAAATGATCACAAATGGACATATAGACTTTTATAAACAATTTTAAATGGATCTAAATTTAGCACAGTTGACTTAAATGATTACTAAGTTAATTCTTATTTAAGTAGTATCACACACTGATATGGACTACTGTAAGTGATCAACATTCATTCTTACATGACTAATAACTATGAACATGGGACAGAGTGATGGAAGACTAAATCTCTGGGTTTGAGTGCACATCCTGTTGAAAAAGTGCTATTGGTTTACTTGTATTAGTTGTTTGAATCTTTCCATTGACCTTTAGGACTGCAATAGATCAGTCTCTTTTTGAGTAGTGCAAAGTTTTGAAGTAGTGAGAAATCTTTGTTACTCAGGTGGATGATTTCGGTTTTGTTGCATTCTGTAGGTTAGATGACCTACGTACGAAGCTCTTGTTTTTATTTTGAACAACATCAGCAGAAGCGAGTTTTCTGATTATTCGTTCTGATAACTATGCTTTCGACTGGTTATATTTACTGGTTTATTGTCTTTATGGGTTCACTTTGTTCCCTTTTGGCTGTTTGAACAGTTGGTGTCTGACGATGGTGATTGTTTAACTTTTTCCACATCGATATATAAATTTGATCTATATCGATATGTCTGTCAGTTGATTTTAATTTAATGATTCTAGAAATCTTCTTGATCCAGAATTTTAACATTTCCTTAATCAAGTTTGTGACTGTATGCATCAATATGTTTAATGATTAACTAACCAGTAAAAAAATTAGTTCATACCATTCATCCGAAGTAATTGTTTTTGGTATTTTTAAAATGAGCTTAATCAATCCATACTTTTTCATCTTTCTCCATTATCTCTTTCCTGAATTTGAAACATATGTATTACTAAATGGTCCCTTTATCCGGGAAGCTGCATGTGGTAAGAGATTGTATTTGAATAATAAAATCTTGTTATTATCAGAATGAGGATTTGTGGAGATTGAATTAATGTTAAGAGTTGAATTAATGAGTTGATCTGAGCTGGACTACTTTTAAAAACCTGGGAGCACTGGATGACCATTTCGCTCTAGTATGGGACTCCTCAATAGTGTGCATCCACGATCCCATGTTTGCACGCGAAACTGAAGATCCTGGGTTTGCATCCCGCATGCGGGATCGTGGATGCACACTACTCAGAAGTCCCATAATAGGACGAGACGGTCGTTTAGTGGTTCCGGGTTTTTAATAGTGGTCTAGGTTAAATCGACTCATGAATTCAACTCTTAAAATAATGTTTTTACTCCAAACGATACAATATTTAATTCTTAGTTAATTTTCAGAGTATGCATTAATTATTTTGTTTTAGGTTGCTGGAACAATAATCGTGTATCTACCGAGAGTGTACTCAAATTACTCATGATTCAGTTAGATCGTATCTTGGAAGATCCAAGAGTTCAAATTTGTGGTTTGCGAGTATTTATTGATTTCACCGGTGTCTCACCTTCTCTATTGGATACAATTAATCCGAAAAAGACCATTAAAGATTTAAGTAAAGTATTACAGGTAAGCTTTTATATGTACATACATACATTTTTTCGGTCCAGTAGAAACATTGTTAAGTAATTTTGTTTTCATATTAACTGACTAATATAATGTCAAAATATTTAATTTCATAATAAACAACATTGTACGTACACAATTCAAATGACAATCGCGTAAAGTTAGGCGAATGCATAATATATGAAAGGATCGATCAGCGTCTTGATAGCGATTTCAAGGTTACAACCCGTCTTTAAACTGAAAATGTTTACCGTTGACAAAACGATATTGTATGATTTTGATGAAAGCGTGATTGTACAATACTTTCAAACTGTAAGTTTGTTGCGAAGAAAAATGAAGTATGATTTGAGTTTGCAAATTAATAAAGATGTTTTCGAAATGAAGCATAAGGGTTGTTTTCAAATGCAACTGTTTCTACAGAAAATGTTCATTAGAACAAATGGTGTTACTGGTAATATAATGACTGTTTGGCCAGCTTTGATGAATTTAACTAAAGTGACTGCAATCTAGAAATATTCTTAGAAATATTGTTTAGTTATATTGGGAAAAGTTGTTGAGACAAGCGAGACAATAATCACAAAACCTAAATGTGGCAAGGGATGGAGTGTGAAGGAGGATTGGGTAAGTGTCTGTAAGTTTCTAGAACATGGGATGAAATACTATTTAAAAGTCACTTCAAAAAGTGAAAATCCAGATATTAATTACTGTTATGGAGAGCCAATCAGAGGTAGCCTAATGATAAAGTCAACCGATGGCAATCAGAAGTGACCTAAAAGACGAGTGCATTTCATTGGCTAAAAAATAGATTAATTTCTTAAGGATATATATATATATATATATATGAATGAGTCTTTGTACATTTTATTCGGTAGCCCAATACAATTTCTGTCCCACTCTTGTGTTCTCGCTCAAGTAGTCAGTTAGAGGGTTAACGCGTGGCACACTATGTATCAGTGTCAGATTTTGGACATTGCCCGTCACAACAGATACTTATACCAATAATTCAGAAAATGATTCAGTCTGAAACAAAGGTGCTTATGCGTGACTGGGGGTCTATAAATCCCTTTTCAGACTGAAATATTATTATCATATTGTTGTGTATAAGAAACACTGCAGATTCATTGATAATTGTAGATATATCGAGGCAAATTGAACATCGTTCAAAACTATTTGACTCCATGCAAAAGGTTCCAAAATGTAGCATGTTGGATATCCATACGGAAGAATATATAAATTGTTATTTTTTGCTTTACAGACAGAAACCTTCATAGGCAACTTTAATAAATCCATTAACCATCCATACTTTTTTTTCCAATATTCAATAAAAGTGTGATGTTTAATATTTTCAAGCATTTTCTCCTTTGTCTAGTGGGTGAGTGCTTCATATGAGGATATAAATTATCCCGGCATATGTATATATGCCTTCCATGAACATCGCACTATAGAGAATTCTAAATTATCAGATGAAAATAAGCAAATAAAGTGAAAGTTAGAGCTTAAAATGAAAATCTCAGTGTAAATTATGCTCATACGTGCTACACTCACCTCCTAGATGAACGGGAAAATTACCCGAACATAATTTCTACCATACACATACTGAACAATCAAAAAGGAGGATGTGGAATAAACTCACAGACATGTATCCAATCTCCGTGGTTATTTTCACAAACGAATTAAAATTTTGAAATTACTTTTTAAAAAAAGTTAACCTTAATTGTAACTAATTATTTTCTGTTAGGAAGCTTATCCGTTTCGTATGAAAGGAATAATCTATTATAATGAACCACCAATTATGGAAGTTTTGTTCAAATTACTAGCACTGTGGTTGAGACCAAAAGTTAGAGAACGGGTAGGTTTTTAAAAATATTTTTGGTATTCATATAAAATACACAGAGAAGGTGGAATGTGGCTAGCAGTTGAATCGAGGACGCGCTTTTCATTTCATTTAGGACTCGTTAATAGAATGTATTTCTTCACTTCTAAGTTGATTTTCACTCCGGGATTAGAATATAGTAACGCTAGCTCAAAACTTCAACACATTTTCTATTTAGCTACTCACTTGTACACCTAGTATGAATTTCAGTTTAATTCGTGATGTTCTGGATTATATAGTGTGTTTGCAGCATTAATTTAGATGGGAGTGTGTTGATGTGCATTAGTACTGTTAGGTTACAGTCAAATTAAACTTTACATATCAGATTTCATTTTCTGAAATTTACAGCTACTTTTTATCCTGACTTGACGTTTACTAACTTTTTTAAATGAACAGATAAGAAATCGTTTATTTCGAAGGCCACAAATCAAGGAATATAATGTTAACTCGTAAACAGATTTACTTAACAAAAATATTTTTTAACAGTTAGTAACAAATACTGTGAATAAATGTAGTTGAGTTTCAAGCCTGTATTATGGTATGCCGAATCGTTTTAGTCCTTATCACAGGTATCTTAACTGCTATTCCTATTAACTATGAGAGATTACAAGACTAAGAAAGGGTAGAGAGCTTTAATGACAAAACCTAATAAACGTATGTGCGACTTTTAGGAATTTCCATCGTACACACACACACACACACACACTCTCTCATTAATACAAATAAGGCTATGTAGGTTATGACCTTGGTAAGATGAATAACTTATTTACTTATAATAGTCCGTCCCTTTCTACATTTTTTTCATTTAGGCTCTACCATGCTAGACAAATCAATTGGAAGACGATAAGTTTAGAATCATAAAACTCATAGTCCAAAGATAAAGCCGTATTATCGTCAGGACAATAAGATTATTTTTTTAGACAATCGGCATCTGGGTGATTCTGCCTTTATATAACGGAGGTATTTATAAATGACTAGGCCTAAAAGTAACACGCCTTAATCTACCCTACGGATTTCCGCCTCATATGATAAAGTCTATAAGATATATAACTAATTCATAACGACTACTAGCAAAAATGTCATTTATGACCAGTGTTTGAGCTTTATGATCACGATATCAAAATCAATCGTAACTCAGTTTCATTTACAAGTATCACAAAAAGAAATATCCTTTGATAGTTTGGTCAACCCGTAAACAACCTACACATTTCTGATAGTATTTGAGAACATTTTGTTCATTTAGTTTCATTTCATAGATCATAATGAAAACTAAATCCAAATGAACTAACTTTCATAATTAATTATGTATTCTATAAACTAGATTGTTTCATTATAAAGTTTATATTATCATTCAAAAAGGCATTCACATTTATGACAGTAAAAGCTTCACAATTAAACCATGTACAGTAAACAATGAGTTTACTTTTAAAATATAAACAAATAGAGAATAAGAAATACATGATTGATTATTAATTGAAAGTCAATTCTTGTTGCTACATTGAAAATAAGACATTTTCTGTTTGTTTTACTTTGAAAATTATAATAATGTCAGTGTGACTTTGTGTATGTTTAAATGAATACTGACACCTTTTAATTAAACAATAATGAAACAATTGAAGTTTATAATGTCGATACTGGATTATAGAAAGCAAAAGAAAAAGATTGTTCTTGTGAAATGAATAAATTATACAACTTTCATGTTGACTATAAACACAAGAGTAGTATTTATTTGATTATTTACTAAAACATTATTGGTCACTTTAATCTAGTTCCATGATTTCTAATCTAGTTACCAATAAATCATTTCGAAAGGGATTAAGTCAGCTTTTACTTACTTTACTTATGCCTGTTACTCCTAATGGAGCATAGATCGCCGACCAGCATTCTTCAACACACTCTGTCCTAGGCCTTCTTTTCCAATTCCATCCAATTCTTGTTCATTCTTCTCATGTCTATTTCCATTTGCCGGTGTAATGTTTTTTTCGGTCTTCCTCTTTTCTTTTGACCTTGAGGATTCCACGTGAGGCCTTGTCTTGTGACGCAGTTGGATGCTTTCCTCAATGTGTGTCCTATCCACTTACAACGCTTCTACTTGATTTCTTCCTCCACTGGGATCTGGTTTGTTCTCTCCCACAGTACGTTGTTGCTAATAGTATCTGGCCAAAGGATCCGAAGTATTTTGCGTAGACAACTGTTAATAAACGCTTGTATGCTCTGGATGATGGATTTCGTAGTTCTCCAGGTTTCCGCACCATACAGTAGAACTGTCTTGACATTTGTGTTGAAAATTCTGATGTTGGTGTTGGTTGACAGTTGTTTTGAGTTCCAGATGTTCTTCAATTGTAAATATGCTGCTCTTGTTTTGCCGATCTGCGCTTTCACATCTGCATCAGATTCACCATGTTCATCAATGATGCTGCCCAAATACGTAAAGGTTTTTACATCTTCCAAATCTTCTCCGTCAATTTTGACTGGATTGGTGCATGCTGTGTTGCATCGGAGAATCTTGCTTCTCCCAGGTGGAGTTGAATATGTCAGCTACATATATTTATTCGATAAGTTCCAAAGTATCTTATTAATAGTGATAATTATTTTGAATTTCATGAACTCGACAGAGTAGTCCAGTCCAGGCTATTGTTGGAAGTGAGTTGATAAGAGAGAGAGAAAGGTGATCGTTGATAATCACTACAATTTTGATTTGATGATTGTGGTACAATATATATTGATACTCATGTTAATTACTTATTCATAATCGTCATCACATGACTATGTATCGATTATTTTATTGACTAATAAACTGGATCTATAATGACGTATCTTCTCAAATGTTCTACTTTCAAGTATCAAATTTCATATGATTCAGAGACATTTCTAAATTGTTTTTAATCAAACCTTAAATTCCAAACTTATAGTTATTCAATATGTTGTTGAATTACTTATACATGACCTTGAATGAGAAAGTATCGAGTGTGTGCATTTATTTGCATCAACTTCATCCAATATGACTTATTATTATTATTGTTGAAACCATCCGCTCTTGTAGATGACATCGATGTTGTTGTTCATCACTATCGCATATTATAATTGATGTGATACAATTGTGTGACATTTTTTGTTAATACCAGAAGTTTATTGAAATCTTGGAAATGATCACTATTTCGAAAATAATAGTTTTAGTTCATTTGAGAATAGTTTCATGATTATAGAATGAGATAATCAATAAATTTGTCAGTGTTACGGTTTTGATAAACGGTTATGATTGCGTGAAAAATAACAAATTACTGTCATCAGTTGATTTTGTCATTTAAATATCACTGAATATGTGACTAAATGTATGTTGTTTACTTTATGTAGTACAGTTTTTCTATCCCAATGTAGTGGACGCTATTAACAAGATCTCTTGAAATAGTATATAGTGGAACGTGGCTTCGAAGTTGTTACAGTCGTCAGGTGGAATGAATAGTTTCAGTACATCGAACGCATGGCGTAGGGAAAACACTTGGTGGCCAGACAAGACAGTTTCCTTTTCAGGACACAGCGAGATGTAAATGGATGATCGAAGGTTATATATACGTATTATCTAAATACTACTGTAATTCCTCTTAACCGTTGGTCGTTGTCCTATTGTATACCGGCCGAAACATGTTTACGGATATGAAGGAATAAATTAGTTGTGAAATGAGGAATTATTTCAACGCGAAAAATAGATTCAATTCTTCTGATATTCATGGATCTTATTCAATATTTATCTTATCAATATTTAGATACTTGACTTGGCATCACTCATTACTAAATAATCAACAGCTAATTATATAAACACAATTTGTAGATATTTTAAGATTAAAACGTTACAATCCCAAAGTGCAGCTGAATTATATACTTGCTTCTTCCTGAGAATCACTCTTTTTCTAGTATTCCGTTGGAAATCAACTTTAAAAGCCGTTGCCCTCCTTCATATTGGTCAAGATATTTTCTTCTTTAAAACTTAGAAATTAATCTGGTTTCAGTTTTTTGTTTATCAGGAGTTCTATCACATGTACAGTGAACTATTTTGTTTTAAAATCACACAGATATTACTTATAATACTTCTTTTCGTAAGTTGAGCACATGATCGGAACATACGTGTTTATTCAGTTTCATTAATCCTTGATTTGATGATCAAGACATGAAAAAAAAGTCTTGTTATTCTACTTCTTTCGTCTTGTTAATCAAACATAATTTAAAAGGGTATTGACACATTTCCAAGTGTTATTCCTAATGTTATTCCCAATACTACTTAACGTATCATAGGTGATTTGTACCAACTAAAAGACTCATTCAGTATTAAACAATTATGTACTAACCTCCAAGTATAATTGAGTTGCAACACATACGACTCATGTTTGTAATATCAGTTTTGTTCCGAGTTAGTTATCTTAGTAATACTACTAGGCAATCGAAAGTTATTTTAAGGAAAGCATACAAGCATGTATAGAGAAGCAACTTTTTTCGCTAAAAACTATAATGCTCATGTTTGTCCAAATTTATCTATTATTTCCCTCCTTTTCATACATATGTATCTGACAAACAGAAGAACAAAACGCCGATTTCAAAGAATACTTTTTAAAAAATGAAATATTATGGAGAGGTATGGCAGTCAATGAAAGAAAACGACCAGAATCATCGAAACGATTAATAGGTGAATATAAAGAAGCTGATGATAGATCAATGGGTACAACTGGAACATTTATTCCATTACCTGTGAATGACTAATTTCTGAATTCATGTCGGACTACATTTAGACGATATATTTTTTCTTTAATATCAAAACCAACAACAATCAAAATAGATGTAAATTTGTATAACTTAATAAAATGAAAGCAATTAGTGATTACTTATTATTATTATTGTGAAATAGAAAGTGCAAAAGTTCCGATTTTTTTCGTTCGCACGATTTAATGTAAAGGTATATCTTCAAAATATACACTGATATACAATGCAATAAATTTAATTGATTAGATGAAGATTAACCGATAAGTGTAAGCTTGAATCAAATAGATGTAGAATGGTTAAACAAAAAAGATTTTTGATTGAGATCATGAATCGATTGATGTTAGACCATCATTGAAAACCTGGAAGCACTGGACGGCCGTTTCGTCCTATTGTGGGACTCCTCAGCAGTGCGCATCCACGATCCCGCTCGCGAGGTTCCAACACATGGCCTTCAGTCTCGCGCGCGAGACCAGACTACTGAGCCGGCATCCAATGGTTTTAGTGTCCAACCAATCCACGAAATTGCGCGACCATCTCCTATTGTACTGAGGTAGACACCTTTTTATATCCGACACGGATTAGCTCCACTGGTCACGGCTGAATTTACGAACCTACACAATTTTTCTTTGAAATTAGTATTTCACTTACTGGTTTAAGATCTTCGTTACAGTACTATGAGTTATCAAACTACCAAAATGGTTTTATTTAGAAATTTACCTTGAAATTAGTGATTAGGTAATGGAATGTGAAATTATTTCATATTTGCTCAGATTTGAATACTTCACACAGTCAATATTTAAATAACGATTAATACAAATTATGTGAAAAGATTAGTTGACACATTTTCAGTATAATAGAACGTGTAACATATAAATTATTATTGAATATAATGGAAATTATTGATGTAAACTTGTGGGAAACCCATTCAACTATTGTATTATTTATTTGCTCACTGTAATTTAGACACTTAATCCACTATGTAAATTTCTGTGCGAGTCTGATTGAGCATAGGTCAATTATTCTCCGATTGGTTGTAATATACAGACAATCAATAATTTATCCATGCTTGATTAACACTCATTAATATATATATGGATTTTTAACACTCAAACACACACACACTTGTTTTTCCTATGTGCTTGTGGATTTTACCAATCTTTAACAATAAACTATCTCTATAACTGGTGTTTAGGCTTTTGAATAAATCTTAAGTAAATTCATACTTCTGCTAGGAGATTTAGTCCGCATTAAATATTCAGTTAATGGGATGTAGTCAGATATAAGGGAAATTAGCCTCTACAAGCTTCTGAAATTTATTTATTTGGTAACAACTAAAAGGATGGTGCCAAAATTAACAATGAAATGTTTCCTAAACATAAACTGACCTGGAACAAAGAAATAATTGAACTTGTCAACAAACAACTTAATTAGTAGATTAAGGATGATACGTTTTCTGTGATAATCGAAGTGAAGCGATTCTAACATTACCTGGTCCCATGCAGCCCCTTTCGTAAAAGTAGCAAAATCTCTTTGCCGAACATTTTATTTTGGAAGTTTAAATAATGGATTGACTTAAGTTAAAGAATCCCTGAAAATCAAGAAGAACTGGATAACTGTTCCATCAACAATGCCCATCTACGATTCCGTCGGTAATCGATTGAAAAATTTCAATTTTCGTTAGTACTTAAAATTTGAATTAAAGAGTTTGGATTTGACAGTCTACAATTTCAATCTTAGTCAATTTGTAATATAGCGGAACTATCATCCATTGCCAGTGGTGGTACTTGACCTACACCTGACATGGTTGCACTCCATCTGGTTACGAGAACTTTTTTTGAAGTTAGTTACTAATGAAGATATGATTACTACTAACAATTTCATAGTTGGTTAATTCTTAGTGCCTGTCGAATTTAAGTTGCATTCATACCACTAGTTGGCATAATAAGATGTACCTAGAATCTTCGGAGAATTGATGCTTTCCATAAGACTGAGTCCAATGTCATCATAATATCACAGTTATTATTATTATATTATATTGTACCAACGATCAAGTTGATATTAGTATACCTAGTATCATTAGCTGTGAAGCATAAAATTTTTAAAAAAAAACCTGTACTTGGTATAAATATGTATCGTTATTTATCATAGAACGAAAATATTTACCAATAATAATATTATTATTAATTATTATCACAAATTATTTATGGTCAACTGAAATACCGATGATTAAACCGTACACAGAAGAGATAGAAACAATGTAAACAAACTCTCTAGAAGCTGAGGAAAAGGAGAGCAAAATGTGAAAACAGTTTCTGTACATACACATTTATCCATACAACATAAAACATTGGAAACAGTAGTCAGTATAAAAACACAATTTCCCGTACACACACATACAGCCTACTCTGATTGCTCGAAGAAAACACAACAACATATAGCGGTGTATATATGGGTGAATGTAATGGTCTAAAAAAAGCGTGCTTTATTTTACTAATACTCTCTGTTTCTCTCTCTCAGAGTACAGACAACAAAATTAATAACAACACCACGATACTTCTCATCTTTCCCTTTATAATCACTTACACGATAAGCAAGAAAGAAAGAAAACTCTTTGACATATACATACATTCAATATAAGCATTAAACCATGGCATCCAGTAGGATACACACAACAAATGGACAAAAAGAAAAAAAAAACTAGAAGGTCGGAAAAAGTGGAAGGTAAGAAGAGAGAGAGAGCCTTTAATCAAAAAATACATACATACACAAAATGATAAATCTATTTCGTTTACTTTCGTTACAGACAAAACGAAACATTAGAAAAATCAAATGTGAAATAGAAGTAATATGTGTGTATGTAGTTCAAGGATGAAGTACCGCTAGGTTGCTTTTTTTTTATACCTCGAACAGTATGTTTTTTTTTCTTTAATGAAAAAAATTAATTTTTTCAGAATATTTGTGTTTTAGATAAGAATCAAATAAGAGGTAATTGATAACCTGAAAGCTAAAATTGTTCACTCATTCAAAATGAAGAAGAGTAAAGGAAGAGCAAAGATAATGAAGGTGTTGGTTCAAAGTAGGACTATTAGATTATTTTATTGTAATAAAAAAAGGATGTTAATAATGAGGGGAGAGGAAGTAAAAGTTAGTAATTTATATATATTACTATTCACAAAATAAAATACTTATTTTAGAAAAACAGAACATTTAATGTGATATATGCGAGGTACTAGTAGTAGTAGTAGTAGTAGTAGTAGTAGTGGAGAATAGTGTGTATGTATACGCAGAATTAGTTCAAAATAGAAATATGAAAAAGAAGGCTCAATTTGTGTATGCAAAGAGAAATAATGAAAATAATCAAATGAACATGTTTACACGTGTTAGAGGAAATAAATTACACATTTGACTATTATTTTTCTGGAGAAAAGAGGCACATGAAGGATATGCGGGAAAGAGAGAGAGAGAGAGAGTAACAAGTGTACACTTTTGAAGTATCTAATTACGTTTAGATATATTGTGTATTTACTCAAAGCAGAATAAAAACCGAGAAGCTAAACCACAATAAATTAGATATTTCATAATTCAACGCTAAAAATCTGATTTTTTTGTTCGGTTAACTAGAACAGTCAATTGATGTATTAAAGAGTAGTATGCCAGTAGTAATCTCTTGAAACATTTAATACTCTCTCTCTCTCATTGTTATGTGTATGTGTGTGTTGATGGAGAAGCAGTAAGAAGTAAACAGTTAGCTTCTCACATTCAATCATTTTGCATTTATATAAATAATTTGTTGACCATTAATCGATTCGACCGGGTTGTAAGAATAGTGTGGTAGACAAAAGAAATCATATATTGGTAGTAGTAGTAGTAGTAGTAACAACAACAACAGAACACAACATTTCGATGTTGTTCATGGAATTAAAACAAAAACAGAGAAAAACCGCCCAACAAGACAAGTAAAAATGAAAATCTGACTAAAATGATGTGAGAAAAACAAACATGACAAAAATTGATTCACTAATTAACTTAATTTAACAACAGTGAATTAGATGGGAAGCAAATAGCGTAAGTATTATATAATCTTCAAATAAAATGCCACTCTCTATATTTCATTTGTATGCATTTCTTACTATGGGAGGAAGAACTTGATGAGAAAATGGTTTTCTTTTGTTATTTGCAAATGTGTAAAAGGAAATAGACAAATTCTTATGATATTGATTAGTAGAAACGTCTGACATCATCACCATGATCAGGACGACAGTAGATGGTAATGACGAGAAATAAGAGAGGGAGGAAGAGTCAAACAATTGGTTTCATACAGATGATTAATACACACACATATATATATATGGTCGATAATTGGGATTATTTTTTTAACAAACAATAATGGATGATGAGTGGATCAACTTCTGGTTGTAATTGAATCTTCAGATGTGGCTGAACTTTGTTGACGGTCAATATAGAGTTTCAAAAGGCGTTTCTGTTGAGTAAGGATACAAAGGAGGGAGGTTAAAGAAAAGAGCTAAGTGAAGTGATAGGAACTACTAAAAAAGGAAAATTATTCAACAAAAACTGACCGACAGAATTTAACTGGTCCTGGCAACAAAACAAACATGAGAATGGTCACTTATTATTTAGGGATCAGTTAGTATAAGCATGAAAGTTCTACATATTAGTGTTGATTTTTACGACTGTAACACTTGGTGAAATCAACTTTTATACAATATAATCAATAGCATCTTCATTTTCTGCATGATTTTAGAGCGGGAAAAACACATCTGAACCAATGATAATATTACTTTTGATGAAAGTACAAAGAAAGCATATACTTCATGATGAAGGCTACATACAATGGCTTTTCCTAGTGAATAGTTTACGGAGTTAGTGTTGTCTTTCATTAAGATCATGAAATGATATAAGTTAGACCACCATTTAAATCTGGAAGCACTGGACTCCTCAGCAGTGTACATCCATGATCCCGCAAGCAGAAAATCGAACTCAAGAACTCCGGTCTGGCGTGAGGACACTTAATCCCTAGACCACTGTGCCGGCATCCAACGGTGTTCATGGTTCAAATGAAAGACAACAATCCCCTCAATTCCTATACTGAAAATTACCGTGCGCTCATAAGAGACTAGCTTCGAGAGGAAATTTCCAGAGCTCTAGCGAGATGTGATTAGTGGAGCTAAGCCATGTCGATTGTGAGACAGTTATTAACCGAAGACAGTGGAGGATGGTCATGCAATGTCGTGGATTGGTTGAAGTCAGACATTAGCACGGCTAAATGTCAACCTAGCGATCTGGAAGTTAAGCGTTCGTGCACGAAACTGGAAATCCTGGATTCGATTCCCTCATGCGTAGTCATGGATGTGCACTGCTGAGGAGTCACAGACTAGGATTAAAGAGCCATCCAGTGCTTCTTGGTTTTCAATGGTAGTTTAACCTGTATCAGTTTATGATCTCAGTGAAAGTCAACAAACTTCACAACCCCATTACTGACAGCTAGTATTGTATTTATGAAGGTAAATGAACTATCTCTCAGAATACCCCAGATTCAAAGTTAACTTCATCTTAGACGACCTAATAATAACTTCCGCGTTTTCGACTTTACTAATTTTACTAGATCTTTGAGAAATAAGATGATACCACTCTACGGTTGATTAACAAGTGTCCATTCTGTAAGTTGTAATAGACGTCCTAAATGACGACAAAGATAAGTTAGTGTTACGAAACTTGGATTTAACCTATGGACAAGTTGTTGAAAAGTACGTAACATGACTAGTCTTATAAACTGCATAACTTATTCCTAACAAAGCTGGCTTATTCATAAGATGCGTGACTGTGTGTTCTTATGGTTAATCAAGTGTAATTGTAATTACATAACGAACATCATACAAGTTTATTCGTAAATGATTTCAAAACATAGATGGATGGTCGGAAGTAGATAGTATGCATAAACAGGGCGGATTAATTATTCACCTAAAAAGATCATAACTGTGAGATAATACATATTACGCACACAAATAAAATTCTGTGTTCAATATAATAATTTAGTACATAATAATAATAATAATAATAATAATAATAATAATAATAATAATAATAATAATAATAATAGCATAATTCGGATAACTTACTTTGCCAGCGTTTAATTCAGTTAAATAACTCCAGATATCATCACCAAGTTTCATAGCTATTGCAACTAGACAAAACACACTGGCCTTACGAATGGCACTCTCTTCATGATTACAAGCCTTTAATAATAATAATAATAATAATAATGTTGATAATAATTAATGTGCACAAGTATGAATGGGCTATATTTTGTCTCAAATATACACAACAGCATGCACAAATGTTCAGGTCAAAAGTCACACAGAGTTACATATAACTAACCACCCCAAAAGAGTGGGAAATAGTCGAAGAAAAAAGTGAAAGAGTTCAGTTTAGGGTAAATTCTTTTGGAGAGCGAGGTGGGTAGGGGGATTGTAGTCAAATATTACAAACATGATTAGGGAAAAACTGATTAAACTAGGTGCGGGGAACATTTTTTTATTGATTTAAAAAGTATGAAGTGATATTGAAACATTTCCACGACTAGTAGTACCGTGGCGAGACAATAATTTATGGACGAACCAATCAGTGATAAGATAACAGGTCTCGGAATTTGGCGCGAAATTCACTCATCCAGTTGGCTGAATAGAGTTTGGGTATTATAGCTGATGTCATTTATTGATGAAAACCCTAAATCTAATTCCTAACTTTAACCATCATCTGTAAATTATAATTCTAATTCCTCACACAGGTTTATAATCCTCATTTGGTCCTAGTTATTAGGTGGACACTCTTGAGATCAGTCTAGCGTCGCTTAATGGTCGTCCATAAATTATAGTTTAATCAGTATTGCTTGTTGACTGGCAATATAAACAAAACTCATTTATTACATTGTTTGATCATGTATGGATGAATTTTTAAAAAAATTGTATGTATTTTAAAGAACATTGGTGGAATATGAGCACTATGAATGAAGTTGTATTTTAGTGGTTAATGAGGGTTTGAACACAGGTTCATCGGTTTCGAGTAGTGGTATTACTAGTCTTCATGTTTGAAGTGTGGTAGTTGAGTGCCAAACCTACTAATACCTACCTGTTAAATAAGAGACGTAAAAAATATCACTCATCAGGGAAATGTAAAACAATTCAAAAGATCCGATTAAAGGTGGAAAAACATTGACATCTGGGAAAAGAACTCCTGTCAAATAGGTTGGAAAGACGGTTGGTTTGTCAAGAGGAAAGCTCATTTTTGCAAAGCAGAATTACCATGGTGTAGATGTCCGTTTAGAGCACAACAATGATTAGGAAATGAATGAAAATCGGTTTCTCAAATCATTACGCCAGTCAAAGTAGAACACATTGTCTCGCCGTCTAAAACCCCGCTTCGACGCTCGCCTTGTGATATGATGGAGTCTTCCATTGGCAGCATATTATCCTCACGGTCATACCACAATGGGTATCGTATATATATATAAGCATTTTATAGACCTTTCATCACGGCAAGTACTTACTACACGGATACATATAATACACAAGTCAAAGACCGATGTACTCCATTGTATACACAAGGACATAGATACAGCTTCTGTTGTTATCGCCCCAGAATGAACTCTTAACAACCTGTAGTATTAAATTACTCAGTCCGTTTTGGCCAATCCAATTTATGACAGAATGGTAGGTTAGTTCAATCTCCATTGACTACTCACATAGGTCTTTATAGGACAAGCCATGATAGCAAACAGAATTATAGTCAAATGATGAAGTGCGGTAAATTCAGAAGATAATGAAGTAACACACGTGAAAGCATAAACTTACAATTACAAGTCCAGGAATTAATGCATTAATAAATTCATGTACTAATTCCGGCGAAGAATTTTGTATAACTTGCATTTGCATCTTAATTGCTGGTAAATTAATGTGTAGTTGTGAATCATTTATTAACGGTGTCAATACATTGAGACATAATTCTTGTGGAAGATTTTGTGCTACTGTATTAGCGCAATCTTCTGCAGCTCGAATAACCTAGTTTGATCGAGGGAAAAGGTGAAATAATAGTAATACAAAAATGATGAACATAGTAACATTATTTACTTAACTTACGAAGATTTTAAAGTTTGTTTTGATTTCGAAAAAAACTGTCATCCAAAAATTGCTTATAACTGTATTCTGGTTTAGTTTATTGACATACTGAGCAAAAAAACATAAAACTTAAATTTATGGTTACTAAATTGAGGACAACTACAATTAGTGGGATTTAAAGCAGTCACCTAGGATGTGCTAGCGATCGGATATTTGAAATGAAGTCGGACTGAGCGCATCGTTGGGTGATAACATTAGGTAATCGGATCGTTAACAAAGGAAGAATGGACTTTCTCTACACTCGGCTGTACCACAGCATCTGGGGGCAAATTTACGAAGGAAACACTATTAGTTTGAAAGTAAACACTAGAATTATCTACGAAGATGAATATAGAATAAATGGGATTTATAGAGTAGTGATTATGAGACTAGAGGATAAGAATCCTCAGCGTAATATATATATATATATATATAAACAAGTACGGTTGAAAGTCTAACACATAGACTCTACTAAGTTGCAAAGAATTAACGTTGATTAATTTTTTGGAATGATTCTTAGCAAAAGAAAAAGCAGATGACAGACAATAAGTTTACAATAATAATAATATTTTGTCCATCAAATGTAATGATCTAGATATTCAAAAGTGAGTGAATACACGTAATTAAAAATAGAACTTACAGATTTTTCACTATCTCGACAGGCTTCAAGTACTTTAATAACAAACAAATAAGCGAAATCATGAAATAATTCCGGTTTAGCTCGTACTAATTCTTGAAGTACACGAAGTGCAAGTGCTCTTGTTTCATGCTAGTAGAAAGTAAGTGGGGAAAAAAACAAGCAACATATATTTCAAGAAATAAAAACTTTATTGAAAGTGAAGAAATTTCTCAAAAGATAAAAAAGTTCTGCAGCCAAATGTCAATAGTTTCACTTATATTACGTTTTTTCAGGTAAATGGTTTATAATTGTGAATTTTTTGTTGTTGTAGTTTTGGGAGAAATACCATCAGTTCCTACTATAAAAAGCAAAAGAAGGGAGCTTTCTGATTATTTTACAAGCATCAAACCAGTTCATTCTGATGACGTCCAACTGTTTGTTTTCTGAAGTTTTCTTATATTCACGTGTTCTGTTAACTGTTATGTTCGGGAATACAGGTGCATGTGAATGAGATAAAGCCAGTTGAACAGAAATTCATCAGAGTGGACCGGTTTTCAATGCATATGGAATAATCAGAAATCTCTCTTTTTCTACTTGAAGCAGGCGGCTGATGATGTTATACAGAGCGATGAAATCTTTGGAATCAAACCTTAAACGTCAGAGAATACGCTACTAACCAGAACAATTATTTGTGATACTACCACAATCAAAACAAAGCATCATCTCCTTGAGGATTGCAAATTAAAAAGATATGTATTCTGATCAAGAATTTTCGACACATAATGAAAGATACACAAAGAAATCGATATTGTTGTTTTATCATTCACATGAAACTCTCTGGTTAGCATGAAATTATTTGGAAAGGTATAGCGGGAACGGATCTAATTTGCAGACTGTATAAATCACACGTTGACCTCAGTTGGGATAACTCTAAAAAAAGGGGCGTTGGACAGCTATACCATCACGGTGTGGAAGTGTGCCCCCACAACTTTGACGTCCCAGCAGTTCTAATGATTAAGTGTTCACAGAGCGACATGTAGAACTTTAAATTCGATCCCTGCATGGTCGTAGGTATGCATTATTGAGAATTCTTACATAGGGACGAAATCAATGTTCAATACTGTTCGCTTTTCGATAGCACTCTACGTGAAACTAATCTGAGTACGATCTAATAACATGGAACTAGACTGTAAAACATTCTACTTTTCTATCATCATATTAGACCAGTAGCCATAAATAAGGTCCTAAAGATAGCGTAATCGGTTACAAGAAGTGTTTAAATCAAGGTGACACTATATGAAAATTCGGTTTAGCTACATCTTTTAATACTAATCATATTCAAAAATTCGTCATTTTAAAGTTGAAAAATCTGTTAACTATGACCTTTACAGCACACCATGGTTAAAATTATTTATAGTTGCTAAGATACAAAAATATTTTTCAAGACATTCACAATAACATATGCATTGATTAGTAATGGTGTTTGCCAGTCAATATATATAAATATAACATGCAAGATTTATGGTCGAATTTATTACAGAAAACAATAACCACAACAAAATAAATAATCAAGTGTCCGAATTCTGTTGTGGTGTGAAAATCAAGTATGTTAAAATAGTAATTTACATGGAGGTTAACCGTTTACTAACAGTTGACTTTTATACACATATAGTCCCTTTTTTTAATTTGGAGAGAAGAAAACAATTAGAGAAGAATAACATGAATTCACTTCATTAGGTGCCCACCAATTATTTATTACCTGAGATAAAGCTTAACATTTATTATTATGATTAGAAAGTGTTTGAATGATCCGATTGTTGATAATCTTGTTTGAATTAGTCTTTATTGTTAGATATGTGTCTTGTGCAGTTTGCCATGATATATTGTCATTTTGTCACACAGTTTTTAGGCAGAACGGATCGATTATCGCTAGAGGTGGAACAATAACACTAAGATGAAGGTATGTACTTTCAGTTGATGAATTCTAAATAAAATGAAAGGCGTTTTTTATATTTCAGTGCTAGTCCTAAGCCATCTATTATATATAGAACTTAATACACTTATAAGATTAGTGTTCATTACATTCTTAGTGTGAAAATATATCAGCAAAGTTGATAATAATAAGTTTATAATAATCCCAATGAATAAGCATTAGAAATTCTGACGTTTGACGACTTAAGTCTCTTCTTCAGAGTAAATTAATAATTGAATTCGGTTTGCACCATCAAACGTTTATGTAGTGTTTGGGTTGATGGATGTGCACAAATAACTACAAGTTGAAGTGATAGAATGAAATGAGCTTTGAAAATATATACTCCGTTGACTAGAAAAAGAGCTCATAAATGGTTTTTGTGTTTTGCAGTACTTTTGATCACCCACAAGTAATATTAAGATGATTTATTCATATAAAATTCCACCAAATAGTATTTAAAACATGTGAAATATATGATCACCGAAAAATATACCATATTCAAACGAACTGTAAAGAAAAATTTATCTACAAGGTGAAAATTTAACTCACTCCATCATCACCTAATGTCTCTAGAAGAATTAACAAAGTTGGCTTGAAATATTCATCCCAATTACTGATAACACCATCACGTAATAATTTGATAAGTTTTAACATACATGTCTTTCTTTGTTCATAACTTGAATTAATATGAGACAGAGAGATAGAATGAAAATAAGAAAAAAAAATTTGCAATGAAGAACCACAGTGTAGAAAAAACTTCGAAAACAAACTAAAAAGTAGAGAACACCGTTGAAAAGACAGTTGAACAAAATACAAACACAAATAAAGCTGTTGTTAGTGAAAAGTTTAGCAGGATGTACACAAAATTGTCAAATAGGCTTCAACCTATATACATTTGTGATAGTTTGGCAGTATCTGATCTATATCATAGCGATTGATTAAGCTGTGGAGTGTATTTCCATAATTTGTCAGTTTCAGAAATAGACTCATCAAACTATTCTAAGTACGAATTATGGGACAGAGTAATCATACTTTAGTAGGGAGATGTGCATATATAATTTAGGGGTGATTTTCTTCACAAACCTTTATCATATCAAGTGGTATTAAACACTAAAGAGTACTGAGTCGGCAGTTTAAACGCTGTTCGAAACTCATAAAGGAATGGGTTTTATGCTAAGCGAGACGTTAGTTCATCAGTGACATTATTTAATGACGAGCATATATTAAGGGTTAAAATAGTGGGTTGTTGGATTACTTAAGTTCTGGGAGATATTTTAAGAAATTATTTAGCTTTTCTCTCCTCAAATTAGACAAATGAATGCTTCTACATACATAATGGATGATATTTTAAGCCAATTACACGATGCAATTGTTTAGAAATCAACAAGATTGTTTGAAAGACATTTGAGTGTTTATACATTAGTTTTTCGAATCGACGCCATTTAAAAATGCAAAGATTGCAAAAATCTTAATCAACTACCATTACTTCTACTAATCTATGAATGTACTGAAAACAACAGCTGAGTGAATTTTATTTAAACACATAAACAGTGGTACAAGGAAGCCCCAAATACATATGTGCCACACTTTATCATCCCATTTGTGTGAGGGCTGAAATACTACCCGTGTGCCCAAACCGAAGGAATATTTATTTCTTATAACTTTAACTTTTAATAAAATACAAAAATGGAAATAATGTGAAAAAGACTTCCGCTGAATATGTAAGCGGTTAATGTGAATGACTTGACATGTGTGATTGATTGTTCTTCGTATGTATTTATTTCAATCATGTTGACATGTATGTCTTTCATAGTAGTTCCAGAAGTGAACTGTATTGTTTAGTTATTAATTTCTATTAGCAAGCTTAGTTATTAGAGTTTGAGGTTTAGAAGAATACTTTGACATACATAATATCACTTCAATATATGTTTAGGATACCCTGATTGCCATCTGCATATTCACAATGCTACAAATAACAATATTATACTGTTCAAATGGAGATATTTTTAGCACTGATATTCGATTTGATGCTTATTTTTTATATTGGGAGCAACAACAACAGTATATGTAAACAATTTTTAAAAATCCAGTTAAAAACTTTCTGTTTGTGTATAGTGTACATGATGAAATGGACAAAAGTATAGTTTTCCACTAGCTATTTGATGAGATTTATTCATACTGTCATACAATTTTTTTTATTGCAGAACACATTTGAAACGAATAAACTTATTTGCCGGGCATATATATATATATATATATATATATATAATTATATATATATTCGGCTTCGAGTCATATGCTTATTTGGGTTTGAGAGCTAATATTACTACCTACATTGAATTGGAGCGAGTGATGTGGCCACTACTCCATAAAGAAATCGTTTGAGTTATTAGACTGGAACTATTTCTAAACAAGTTTTATTTTCTACTAGTTGGTCAGTGCTATCATGGATTTTAATAAGTCTGTCGACTTCAGATTTGAAGCAATAAGAATGATGAGATTGAATGCAGGGTATCAAGGAAAATACCAATTTGTTTGTGAAACTTGGTTGGAACACATATTACATATACTCCAACCACTTCCTACCTCGACAGGTAATGATAACTGGTGAAGTTAAAAGAAAGCTAGGAGAGGCCAAAGGAAAATGTAGTATCAAACCATGAGGTTGCTGACTGTTGTTCTGAACCAGGTTGTTAGGTGCAGACTACTTGGTTGGGGTCTATACAATTAACAGATTTAAACGTTGGATGATAGTGATCACAATGGCGAAATGCAATTACTTTTTATCTTCCTCTAGATCATGAGTTTCAATTAATTTCTGGAATAAAATACATGAAGTAATTTTCGTTCTAGAATTATATCTTATATGTCTAATTCTTTTTACTATAATTTAAAATAAAAATAGTTCTACTACTCTGAGATCGTCTTGAAGATTTTATTTTGATATGTGCATATGGTATGGTTAACTTCACATAATGCACATATGTACCCATTTCTACATTGCATATGGAATGACATTCTAACTAACCGAATGCTCATATAACTAGTGTGGTTTGAAAAGGACTATTCAGGGCTCGTGTTTGATATCCTAAACAAACTACGAGAATGAATAAACTGACCCATATACCAGGAGGGTGTGAATGTAAAAAAATACACGAATTATAAAATAGTTTAAAAAATAACAGAGAAAGGGGACAAGATTCAAGAAAAAGCAAACGTTGAAAAATATTTTCCTCGCTTACATAACCTCATCAAAGTATGGAAAATAATTTGATAGTCAAGAATAATAATATACGGAATAACAAAAAATTATTACTACTTCAGCAACCATGATGGGAAATCAGAAAGAAGACGACTTGTGCAGAACCGAGTATGCAGCATCAATACATGAATTAAATGACTGTTTGGTTTTAGTTGTGTATGAAAATATGGGCTTCTCATATAGGATCAATCATTATCGACTGTCAAAGTATTTGTACTGTTACATATGCCTAACTATCACTTAACTCGACGACATATATCTACTGTTGGGGTAAGTTGGGAGAAAGTTAAAAGGCGTAGCACCAAAGCAAAATGTGCCATCAATCCATGAAGTCACTTGACTGTAGGTTTAAGTCATGCAGGTAGGTGGATGAAAATTGTTGGCGAAGGACCACGATCGGTGATTGGAAGCTTCGAGTGAAGTAGCTCGGAATAGTTCATAATAAAGGCATCCACTTCTTTTTTTTTCCCAATCTTGAATTCTAGTATTTTTTTTCATATACACTTTCCCACCCTATCTTTTAAAATCATGTTCCCGGGATTTGTCTTTCTTTTTATCATTATTACTACGTTACTTCGATCACTTTTGCTATTTTTATTTTATCGTGTTAATCAGGTATGGCAATTCAGATCAATGCATATCTATGCCGGGCTTTTTGTTTATTTTTCAATTCACATTTGTACAGTTCATGAAATAATTCAGCCTATTAATTTCATTTACACCCATGTCATACTTTACGAATATTTCTTCAATATAAACCCTCTCATGTAAGCAATTTAAACCGATTATGCAATTATCTTTTTAAATACTATAGGTTGTAAGCAGCTGACGAGAACCTACGAAATAAAATGAATTCATGTTATTCTGCTAGAATCTTTGTTCTTGCTCTTTTCGAAATGATAAAGGGAACTATGTGCATGAAATAATTAGTTGTATTTTAGAAAAAAAGAACAAGTCAATATTGACTACTTTAAATAGTGTCTGTTTTAAGGAGGAATAACAGTATTGATTCAGAGCCTATTTAATGTCATCAATATCTATTTACAAAGTTATTTTTGTTTTATTATTAATTATTTATGACTATTTTTTTCTTGGCACATAGATCCCAGATGAATGATTCTTTCTAATTTCATTAATTTATGTATTCCATCAGAAGAGTAAGTTGGTAACTAAAATACAGATTTAACACATTGATCTTCACCAGAGTGATGTGAATGGCCAATCAGCAAAATAAACAGGTACACAGGGTTTGCTAAATCTATGAGACAGTATTCACCACTTTGAATTCCTTCTATTATTGATTTCTACTTTGAGTTTTATTGTGTGTAGACTTCTGGTATTTTGTGTTGAATCGGGTATCTTAAGTATAACGTGATCGAGTCTAATAATTTCATGTATAATGATTAATGATACTAGTTAAAAATAAGTTTTGAATCCGAACACCCAATGATTGTATGCAATACTTACTAAGTACCTTACTTCAAAACCGTACAAAAGATTGATAGTAACAATAACGAGAAAACTTAAATATTAACAGTAAAAATGTTATAAAGTTTGCGAACTAATTAGTCAATACATATCAGAAAAATGAAAAAGTGCATAACAAATAAAACTTTGTCATTTTGCTCAAAAGCAAAACACAGACAATTTCCGTTAATGCGATTAAGCTATTGTGAAAAGAAAAATACAAAATCTATACTATGGGAATATTGAGAAAACTTTATAAAAACGGTTGATGAAAATTTGTTGAAGTAGTAAGCAATGATGGTTGTATAGACATAGAAAGCACTAGAACTACAAACGAGAATAAAATGTTTAGACAGTAGGTTGCATCGATCGACCATTCAATCATTGGAACATATATATATATATATATATATATATATATATATATATATATATATATATATATATATATACACTTACATTATAAAAACAGGGGTAAATCTAGGTGTCAAGATATCGAAATAAATGACAGTTAACCTGCTAAAATATAGAGTAACTCAACTAACCAACGACATCTTGGTTATAATGCTAACAAGTATGTTTCAAGAACCTAATCTCGAGTACACAGCTTCTATCGGTAACGGACTGAGTTATTCTGCCACTAACTCTTAGAGAAGTACATTTCGAACAAAACGGATTAGGATTTTATGATAATCTTCTGAGAACTACGTTGCATTTAGAAATTTTAACCTAGCCGATAAAGTTAAGTAAAATTTTATTTTACATCAAATCTCAGCAAAATGATTGCCAAAATCGATATTAAGGATTGTGAAGAAACTGTGTGACATATAATTTTGTTAGCAGTCCTTTTTAAAAGTGAGAGTGTTATGAATAATTTACTTTAAAAAAAAAAAACGAAAATAAACAAAATTAAACAACCCCAATATTCAATACATTTTCTAGTCAAATTAAAAACAAATATTGATAGTAATGAAACAAAAAGTGTTCATAAACATCAAAAATAAAAAATAAAAGGAGGCGGGAGCGTGAGAAACTAAAGAGAATGGTGACACCAGCACTCACGTGACATTATCTCTAAATGGGAATTGATTTTATTAATTCATTGAATAAATGTTACAAAACATTCACAGAAACACACAATAATGATGATAATCTATTGTTTATCATTTACTTTATAGGAAAAATTAACGGGAAAAAGTTATGCAAACCTATGAGTGCATGTGGACAAGTATGTATTGAATCGAAATAATTTATGATGAAATAATGAAATTAACAGTAACCGCCTACTCAACAATGTATACACATGCAAATAAAAATTCAAAAAAAAAAAAACAATCGTAGTATACTTTACTGATCATAGTAAATTGGTTGAAGCAAATTAGGCTATGATAAATCACTTCTTAACATGTATATAATACACAAGTATGTAAAAGTGTCTATGTTTATAATCATTATTAATAGTGGTTTATGATCCGATTAGTGATGAGAAGTATTATTAGAAATGTTCACTAATTAAATGATAGAAATTGGAAAATCATGTGTATGTTTGTTATAAATAGAAAATTCTACGAAAAAAAAGTTTTATCTAATGTTTTTTTCTCTTCAATTCTTCCAAATTATACAATTGAACAATAAACCTATAGTTTGAAGCATATGACATTTGTTAGGGATGCAGAATAATGTGCCAATCATTATCATGTTAAGTCTAATGATGTCCTTGGACTCTAAATGGGCATTCCCTATTGGCCATTATTTATTTCACTCGTTAAATATTGTACAGATGTTGTTTTTTATTTTTATGGTACGATGTGCTCTGTTTGGTTGGTATATAAACAGAGTATGTTTGAAATATAACGATTCATATCTCAGAGGCTAAGACTTGCGTTCTGGACTCAACTGGCTGGGCTAGACAGCGGAGCAGGACCAATCGGGACTCTAGGTTGTTCATTTCGTGTTTACGTGTCACTGAATCAATTAATAAAACGCTGCGCATCTAACCTGCAATCACCCGTTACAACACATTATTGTCAAAAAAAATGCTATTCAATTTACAAAATTTAAGATTACGAGAGAAATTGGCACTAAAGACAATAAGTTTCTCAATTATTGATTTTTTTTTATAAAAAAAAACTATTGAGGAGATGGGGAAAAAGTTCATATGGAACTTGTTCTGATTTGCTGAACACGTATTTCTAATTGAATTGAAGAAACCTTGTAGTATGAGATTGTTTAGGTTTCCTAAAGTAGAACCTTCCCTGACAGGGACATAAATTCCAGCATAGAATGTAAGATTGTATGATGGTTGCAAGTGAAATTACTAAATGTTTTGGGAATACGCCTAAAGTCAGGAAAAACAACTTTTCCGTCACACAAATACTACTAGTCAGAGAAATAAGTTAGAAGCAATAAATTTGTTTTACTAATCACAAAATAAAATGAATGATCTTTGTTAATACATACTGAATGGAGTATAGATTGGGAAGCACTACATAGAACTTTTTATCTACTGAATATCAAACATAATTATTGGAAAAAACAAATATGCAAATATATGAAATCAATACTGTTTTTTTTAGAAAATCAAAGACGACGAAGAAAAGGGGGCGTAACGAGAAATCAATTAGGTAATCAGAAGAGAGAAAAACTATTCAGAGCAAATTAATTGACAAACATAAAGATAACGTTCTGATTTTTTCTCAATTAAAGGGAAAGGAAATCAATTTGTCACTTTTTGTATTTAATGTAAACAATAACCAATTTAGGATAAAACGACAAAGAAGACAATTAACGATGTCATTTATGTGGAAAAGAGAGAAAGTGAGAATAAGTAAACTAGCCCATAAAAGACGTTGAACACTAATTAGAAAAAGGAAGAAATATCATGTGATCTGTTGTTTACAATTAACTATTATTATACAATAGTTGTAGCTTGCTAATTAACACTGATTCATAAAACAAAAAGAATAATCTAAATGGCTGTATTCAAACACTTGAAGAAGATAAATATAAACTGAGAAAATTATATAAATGATAAATTCTTCAAGTAATCAATTAACTGATTTTCGTATACTCATGTACTAAAAGAACGAAAACCAAATAAGTAAATCACTTTTTGAATGCGAAAATATACAAATAATGAGATTTAAAGTTTTCTTAAAAAAAAATAAAATAAAAACGGTAAAACTTTCAATCACCAAATAATTTTGACATTAATTTAAATAAATATGGGAAATAGTTGAAGACGTTAACCAATCGTTAACTTGTATACCAGATACGGATCTGTTTAATAGGTTCAAAGATATTGTGAATCTAGAAGTTAGTGAGTGACACTATCCTCACAAGGCCATGTGAAATAGTATAGACACCCTCATTTTTGTCTACATTAACTAACCTAAGAGTAAAGCATTGTTTTCAGACTTCGTGGCTTTTCTCTCGTGTTCAAGTTGTCGTGTAGATTTAGCCTGGGGATATTACAAGAGATTAGGAAACCAATTCAAGCGTTCAGTTAGAACACTCATCAATAGCGATGAAAAAATCTACTGTGTAAGTTTCTTTCGAACAATTAGAAGTCTACATGCAGTGTTTCAGTCTCAAATAAGAATCATGGAAGCCCTTTAGAGTCAGTTTGTGGATGCCATGTTACAGGGTATTCCAGGAACAGTAGCTCATATGTATGACATCATAATCATGGAAGAAAACATAATGGATATACAAAGAAGACCTGATCAGCTATCATGCATAGGCCAATATGGTTTTATATGCACCAGGTACGATAACTCGGTTTCATAATAGGTATAGACAACGACCAGATTCAGAGAATATGGAAGTTGCCCAGAACAACGGATATTTTTACTTTACGATCTTTCTTAGGAACAATTAGTCATTACGGATATTTTCTTTCTGAACTCCATCACCTACATGCTCCACTGTACTGCCTACTGGTAAAAAGGCGAAATGGAGTTGGTCCACAGCTTGCTCAGTGCATTAGGAAGGATAAAGTTTGCGACAACGCAATTATTAAATTGATATGTATCAAAGCTTACTCAGTGGTTGTGCACTGTCAGTTGCAACAAACAATTATCGGGTACATTTTTGAAAATAAAACGTATTACCTAATACTCGACCAATATCTGTTAGCAGAATGTGAAGAAATCTTTAAAAAAAAACTAGGCAAACCAATGAAACAAGTAAATGTTAATAGTTAACAACAACTCAGAATTGAGGGAAATTCACTAGATGGGCGAACACAGGTAAGTCAGTTTCACGCTCGATGAACACATGGACAGGCACAATCAATATAAGAGGACAGTCAAGAAAAAGAGAACAAGAAAGATAGTTTTGAAAATGGAAAGAAAAAATATTATCCCAAACAAAATTATCCAGGGCATGAGTAAAGGATAAATTTCTTTACCATAATGTCTATCAACAAATCAAGACAAAAAACTGATCAAATAAAAAGCGAAAAACAGTTAAAATATGGTTAGTTAAATTGCAATAGTATTGAGAAGTACTCAATTTGATATTGGGCCAGTTGAAGATAGTCAATAAATATCTATCAAAATTGGTTGCATTATCGTCACAGTATAGTGCATCTTAAACAGAATGGATGTGTTCATGATAAGTTTCGAGAAAAACAACACTAATACACAAATCAAAATCACAAACAACATATTTAAAAAAAACATATTTGTGGACTGAAAAGGAGAGGAAAAATCTACAAGGAAATCTTAATCTATCTTACCGTTCATTGTGATTCGATAATTCCTGGAGTATTTCAGACATGATATCTTCTGGGGGCATTTCTAAACAACAAACAAAGAAAAAGATTGGAAACTACAAATTAATATGCAAACTGTATGCTTATAAAAGAATTGGACATTGACATAAACACTGGTACGCCACATGCGTATATAACAGATAATACATGCTTCAACACAGAAATGATTTTATTGTGTGATTATCACATAATTAACATCATCAAATTTTAGGATTCGTGAATACCGGACAAACATAAACAAACAATTAAAGGAGAGACAATCTAATGAAGAAAAAAGTATGTGCTATAATTTATGCATAAATAAATAATAATAACAAATACACAGCATGATTGCATAAACCATACAAAGAAATCACCATAAAATTGTTAATAAATAATTATTATTATTATGGTGGAAAGCAATAATATTTACAGAGATAATTAACTCTAAGTAGCCGTAGAGAGAAAAATGTGCAAGACAGGAGAGTTTAAAAACTAAGTAGATAAACAAACACGATAGCATACATTGAACAATCATTCTTACTGTTTTACCAACAACAACAACAACAACAATAACAACGAACACAAATATCAATACATTCACTACAGAGCTAGCTAACACACATGTAACAACATATAAGTGCTTTCACTTATATTAGTGATAAACAAATAAATATAATGAAAATGTTTTGTTTTGCTCTTATTTTTCTTTTCCAGTGAACAGAACAAAAGCTTACCGCGTATTTTTTTTAACGTTTGATAACCAATTACAGGTTTTTTTAATTTTGGCCCTATTTCATTGTAAAATATGTATTACGATGATAATGATAATAGTGAATGAAAAATAATTTCATTCATTATAGAAAAATATGACAACAAATTAAATTAAGTATATCAGTATGTACACAAAATGAAAAAAGTTATATATATATATATATATATATATATATATATATATATATATATACACTTTCAACACAGCAAACTGACATTTGCATATTGTTAGTTTCAGCTATCCGTATTGGTAAGTTGAAACTGCCTTAACTGGTTAGAATTCACATGATTGGTATGAAATTATACGAGACAACTCAGAATGGGTTGTAATGAAGTAGATACATTTACTTTTTGTCTCCCTCTACGGCCTATATACTGAAATTGAAAATGATTTTACACTTTTTATTCCTCAAGGTAAATTTTTCTTTTCGAGTCGTATTCATTATAACAAAATATTTTTATTACCATCGATACTACCACTACTGTAAAACAAGACAGAAGGCAGAAGGAATCTATACTTATTGTAAGTTATAAAGCGTTTATATAGTACATATATATAGCCTTCAACCATCTATTCGTATCTTTCGATGTGTTCTGCAATTTGAACTTTTTTCGTTTAGTCTCTAAGTGTTCTGTCTACGCAGTAGTTTCGCTTTACTGAAACTCTCCACTTCGTCTGACAACTTCGAGGTCACATTACGCAATATATTACTTACAAACAACCTCGTGAGTAACATCTAATACACTACTATGTGATATTTATATAGTTGTTTTTCTCTTGTTTATTTATTTAAACACATAAACATTAGTACAAGGAGACATCAAATACATATGCGCCACACAAATCATTCGATCTGTGTAAGGGCTGGGATACTGCCCGAAAGTGCCAGCTAGGATCAATGTATAGAAGTATTAGATTGTAACTAACCGACTAGTTCAAGTTGGAATTAGTTGAGATAAAGTGTAGTGTTCTATGTGGACACAAAAATCGATCAATAGAGTTGTAGTCTGAACGAACTAAACATTAAACAGATTAAGTAATTTAAATGTAAGCTTCCAAAACAGATATATATTTAGTTAAATAAAAATATGATAGTAAGGTATACAACTTTTTTGATTATTTGTTAAGAGAAATGAGAATTGTGAAAATATATTAATTATTGTAACGGTGGTTTTAGGCAAGAAGCAATTATAAAACAGGATATAGAAAATAGATGCACATATGCGTTGAAATTATAAAAAAATTAGAGGAAATAAAAGAAATTCCCACAGCAATTGGGTGATAAAATTATATTTATTAAAGAATTGTGGCTTTAATTCAATGTATATCAGATTATACTTAAAGAGGAAGCAATATTGAATCGGAGAGCACACAGTATATATGTGTAGTGTCTAGTGCTATGTTAGGCTCACAAGGATTATTCTAACTTTCGGAAAAAACCCAATTTATCCATTCCTCTTCAGTCACATTTTGAACATTATTATTATTATCCGCTTATTAACCCTGACTGTTTTATATGTGTGTATTGCCTATCCTACTCATCACATATCTGTAGCTTATTTTTGTCTGACTATAAAAATTGAGTCACGGTTGATCAAATCGACTTGGCTCCCTCATCTTCGCTGTCCTGATTCTTATTCTGATTGTCCGTCTGAATAAACGAGTATTTGAAGTAAAAATTCTCCAACGCAATCCGTATTTGTCTTTATATTACCGCCATCACACAAGCGGGGGTTAGCCTAAGTAATATACAGAGTTAAATGAAACATTTATGTTTATAGCATCTTCGTACGATCAAACCGGAGTCAGATACTGGGCTACACATGTATAGAATAATTAAGATGACTGATTTTTTCTTTCTAGTCTTTGACGTAGTCAAAGTTTATTTTAATAAATTAAAAACCCATTTCCCCTTAAATTAACAACACAGAAAAATAATATTAAATATATACATAGAGGAACAAGTGAATAGAAAGAGAGGAATAAAGCAAATTGACATCACTTACCATCACCAGGATCATAATTGATAAGTGTATTTAAAAGAGCCTGAAAAATAATTAAAAAACAATCATTGTACATAATAAATAAAAGGCGATTTTGATCTAAATTCATTGAGTTTAGTGTTGAGAAGAGTATGAGTGATAAGTGAACACAACCTAGCAAGAAATCAATTTGTTATCTAATCAAGTATAGAAAATTACGAGGCGGAGCATACATTAAAATTATCTGTATATTTAGAGTATCTACATCAATATTATAAAGAGATGAATAGAGAAGAAAAGAAGGAATGAACAACATAACACTTATGTATGACTTAATGAAGAAATATGATATGTAGTAACTCAATTAAAAGCCAAAATATTAGATAATTGGTCGGTAAGAGTAGATTTGTTGCGCAGCGTAGTCGAAATGATTTTATTAACCAATTCTTCCTGTTTTTGGATGAATTAGTATCAATCAACTCATAACTCAACTTTATTGGAGTTTTAAGGTGTTCAGAAATCTACACAAAACAGCGTTATTTTTTATAATTATGATTATCTAACAACGGTGGCTTAGTGGTTAGGCCATTTGACTTTAGTTGTTACTAAGTCTCACGTCAAGCTCCACCACACCTACTTCATTTCAAGTAACCACGTATCATTATAATGGTATGCTTATATCCAAGAACTTGGATAATGAGAAAATTTTAGAAAAAGATTTAATGTTTAACAGTAACAGATCAGATATAGTTAATTGATAACCTGAGACTCAATAAAATAAAATAAATATATGTGCCACTGGGTTGCCACTGATTCATATATTATCAGAACACTTCCGTTTGGTCGTACCAAAACTAAATCGATACACACTGATGAGTGGTCAGGACTTTCGATCTGTGGTAATTAGTCACAACACCAATTGAGCACATTTTGTCTGAATAAGTTATAACGCAAATGAGAATAAATGCTGTATGATAAGGTACATAGATCCGTGTAGCAGTGTTGATGATGCTGTTCAACCATTAAAGCATAAATCGGTGTAGTAATTATCAGTTATTGCTGATAAATGGGAAAAGACAAGTACGTCAATAAATGATTCACAATTTTATATTTGACAGGGTAAATTATGGTAATTACAATGTGAATCAAAGGCAATCAATTGAATAAACAGTGCAACTTGTAGTTTCAATAAGCTATACATTTATTCATAAGAGACGTGCATCACTGAAAATCAGACGCTGGATGTAATAATACAGTTTTATAAGTAATCACTTACTTTATTTGTACGTAACCCATATGTAGACTGCAGTGTTGGATCATTAGAAGCAGTAGTACCTTGTGAGGAAGCATAACATTGATTTACATTAGATGGAATAATATTAGGTGGCTGTAATGATGTTGGTTGTGAATTAAGGAAATTATTTGGTTGAACAGTACGTAATACACCTGTATTACCATTTGTAGCATATGTATAATCGTTAGTTGTAAAGCTGGGATCAGCAGATACTCTGCGTGTTGGACTTGTTATCGCTGACGTTGGAATACCACCCCCACTCGCACCAACTGAAAGTGATTGAAGGCCATCGGTTGTTTCACGAATAATACGATTCATACTTTCAGGGCTTACTCGACCACTGTCACTGCCAGTAGAGTTATGAGAACGTTGTGAAGAATAATATGGTCCAGAGATTGATCCATATCGTCCACTACTTGGTGGTGAAAAAATCATATGATCTTGATCAGCAGATCTATAAAAAGATATCATATAGCTTGAAAGAAAATCCTATAGGCAAAGTATACGTATGGATTTATAGTGGTAAAATCTAGAATAGATTGAAAATGAGCACACAATCGCTGAAAGCAGATCAATTAAAACATGCTTAGATTTTATTTTGGTGAAAAAAGGAAAGGTAACGAGTACACATTTGAATTAATGAACATAAACAAATTAACGTATATTTGTTAGTGTAAATAGAAACACATGTATGTATATGTATAAATGAAGGTTAAAATTAGTCATATAATCAAAATACTTTTTTCAGTAATATGTTTTATGGTAGCATTACTGACACTAATGCAACTATTAGGAGGAAATGATGTCAGCAAATAGATAACACTATTTTGATTAAAATCATTTATCATAGGTGGATGTACTTGAAAAACTGTTCATTTTATTAAAAAAAACTGAAATCAATCAAATTGTCGACGTCGTGTATTAGCTAAGTAAGTTAGTCACTTACAAGCTAATACTAGATTAGTAAACAGTCTTGGTGGATCTTAGTATCAAAAACCCAACACCAAATAAAAAAGGATAGTGATTGTGAGAAAAAAATGTTGATATAACTGAAGGTTAGTTATTAAAATAAACCAAAAATAAGCATATAACTGATAGATTGAATCAATCAGTAACAGGTCAAATGAATAGTTTATGTGAAATTGTTTATTCTTAAGGGAGTAAGCATGTACCATTAGAGGGATAATTGTTAAAATAACAGACACATAAACGACTGGATACACATACACGTCTATCCAATTAGTCAAGAAATTTCTTACTTATGTGGCCAGTTGGGTTGGTGTGTAGAAAGCTTGCATACCAATATTAGACTCAGATAACGCACATAAAAACAGTAACTACACAGTACAGTTACTACACTGTACAAAATACCCGAATGACGTCGATCACGGGAGTACTATGTTTTGTTTGGCAGAATACATTAACATAACAAGAGGGATTCGAATTAACAACAAAAAATAACAATATGTATTAATTTCGGACTATAATCTATCCAACTTGACACTATCTTCATGTGTACCACATTACACCAGACAGAATAGACGTACAACACATAAGAAATATAAATAAATATTTATATGTATGAAGATTACACGTAATTTAATGTGTTGAAATATCTTTGAATATTTTGTAATATTCATTCAATTTTATAAGTTATCCCTTGATATATTTCTTCTCTCGATTGATTTTTTTTATCTACTCAATAAGAATTCCGTGATAAGTCCTATGAGTCTATTCAATCAATTCAGATAATTAAGCAGTTGTATCAAGCTGGCTATAATAGTAACATGCATGAGATGTATCATTCTAAGAATAAATTCATTATCAAAAATACACATTATCTAACAAGAACACAAGTTAGAACAATTCACTAAACGGACAAATGACTTTTTAGTGCATTCAGTAACTGTTGTTTATTAATCATTCTGTGTGAAACATACACACAAACAAGAAATTAAATAGTAAGTGTGTATGTAAAATAGACAAAATTGACTTGATATATGTAATAATAATAATAATAATAATAATAATAATAATAATAATAATAATAATAATAATAATAATAACTATTATTATTATTATGAAGAAGAAATAATTAACCAGCAAAATATTCCGAAAGAAAAAAACACAAGCATAATGAAACTGAGATGAAAGTGATTTTGTGTAAGAAATTAGGTTTTTTTTTAGTTAATCAATAAGACATGTATAACGTAGGACCAGGCGTATATAAGCAACGGGCCAAGTTGCCATACCTCATTAGCATAACAAGATGAACACCAAATTCATAGAAGCAGATAATTCAATGGTACTAATATATAAAACAACGATTGCATATTAGGATATGATACAGGGAGAAAGAATTAGTTTGTAGAAAGAAAGGAATAAAGTAATTTAAATCTCATGGTTTAAGGGAAAACAAATAGTATATATACCTACATAATTGTGATCGATCTGAGTCATGTCACTCAGATTCTCCAACCACTGGTTACGATTGTGTGTTAGTATTACATAAGAAGGTTCATTTGTAAACCATAAACTGGTTAAAATGGATTAGTAAGCTAACGACAAGCTCAGATTTCAGTCAGTTATGAAAACAATAACAGCATAGTATCTGGTAGGTATTGATGTTGATTTATTCTATTTGAATTACAGTACGAGAAACAAGTATTAATAATAAAGTGACTTAGTGAAGGGACTGAAGATCTTCTGAATGTAAGTGATGTACAAATAGTTTACAATTCTGAGAATCAGAAAGTTTTCATCTTTTGACAAGGTACTATTTATTAGTTATTGAAATCTTGGTCTAGCACTAGCTAGGCTCTTTCAAACGGTTATCTCCCTGATCAGTGGAATTAAACATTGGACGATGAAAGAAAGCAACGTAGATTTAACTTATGAAAACAACTAAATAGAAGTTTTGTTTAACAAAGATGATAGGCATAAAGTTAATAATGGGTATATTTGTTTGCTGTAGTAAATGAACTAGTAGACGTACGACTTCAGGTTACAAATATTGATTTTGTCATTACAAAAATGGAAATGAGAAACATCTTAGTGAAAATGGCAATAGAATCTATCACTAAAAAATTCACGTAGCTTATTTGTTAAGTACAGGTATATGCACTCAATTTTGAGTCACAAGTGAGGGGCTAGTCATATACTATTCGTTACCATTATTTTATTCTATGACCTACTTGTTAAAAGCTAAGCGTTTTAACATATAAACCACTATGCTTCAATTAATAATGATGTGTACTTGAAATTATTAGCAGTCAAGATTGAACATTTTGATCCTGAAGCAAACAATGACCATAGTAACCAGTTTTGTTTAAACAGAAATTGCGAAAACGTTGAAAGAACCTACTAGACATACGTCTGATTGAGAAGGATATTGATCTGACAAGAGTGAATTACAACTTATAGACGTATTTAAAAAGAAAAATGGTCAACCATTATGATATTAAGCAAGCTAGTTGAAAGGCAAATAATCATAAAAATGATGGTATAAAAGACATGTGCCAAAATTTTGGCACTTTATAAATCTAAAATGTGCGGTAGTAAATATTTAGTCAGAATTATAAGACACGTAAACATGCATAAATCAACGATGAAATAAGGTAAGCAATCACAAGATCCCAATATTAAAACATATAACGTTATACTACTTAGTTAAAAGCAATAAAATGTATGAACAGTACACAATATAAACATACACACGAACGAATACAGAGAAACATGAAATGACATGACATGAAAAAAGTAGGTGATTAAGTGCATAAATAAACATTAACGGACCAAACAACAAACAAATGACACAATGATGAAAACAAAAAAAGAAAAAACAATGATACAAACCTAGTCATAGGACTTCGACCTGTTGATGTTACAGGCAGAGAATATTTCCTCAATGATCCTGAACTGAAACAGCCGTATTAGTAGTGATAGTAGTAGGAGTAAAAGAAGTAGAATGAGAATGAAGACAATAAAAGCAATAAGAGAGATAAAACACAAAATACATAAATATACGAGATGTATGAACGAAAACAAATGTAATGTAATAATGTATGCTAACAACGCTTACGTAAATAAATACACACACACGCACAAGGGGGGATAATAAACATGCATGAAGTAGCGGATTTTGCTAAATTATACCTTATAGTGATTTATATATATATATATATATATATATATATATATATATATATATATATATATATATATATGCACGGTATATATACAAGCAAAAGGAAGGTATTTGAAGGATTTATGAACAACAGACTCAATAAACAAAATGAAAGCCTTCATGAATAAATAAATAACTAATTAATGAATAACTTAGATTCCCAAAAATATATTTTGTCCTAAGATTATTATGTAAAGATGAAAACAACATAACATCTATTAATAAATAGCGTTTTACCTATAAATGAACTAAGTTACAAAGAGAGAGAATTTCAGTTTAAAGATGGAATGAATGATAATTTAGCTTACGATGATTTCCATGAAGGAGAATTGTGATTAGTGTCGGTTAAATTGATTAGACCACCACCTGTAGCAGTCTTTTGATAGGTTTTTAATACTTCATGTGCACGATCTTGTACTCCGCGAGGCAGTGATTGTAATAAGTTAGAGAAACTTGTGGAATTCAAATCGAACAATTTGATAACAACACGGGAAGCCATCTAAAGAATACAAGGTAGAAAAATGATAGGAAATCACTAATAAGAGATGGAGGATGACTAGAGCAAAATAAACTCATGTACCTTCAAGGGACAAAAAAACAGATCAGATGTATATCAGTTCGAAAGTGACTCAGGCATAAAAGTAAAGATTGTTGAAGAACTAAGAAAAACTAGAAGTAAAATGATGGTGGAAATTTGATATTGGGCATCACACCTTGTTTCGATAGTTTTATTACGAAACGTGTTATTTTGATGACAAATGGGCTCTGAATAAACGTTGTTGACTTATATTAGCTAGAATAACTTTGACCCCAAATGTCTTAGTACGACCCAGTGGGAAGAGTCCGCTCTCTCTCTCGCAATGCTCTCACATGGCCACGCGTATATAACCTCTGCTAGGGAAGTCCTACTCATTGCCTTCTCACGTTATGGGTGTTGTTTACGAAATTGAGAGGACGAAAAGCGAATGTCCGGCTCTTTAACCGGGTTAGTGGACATGGAAAGTCCACCTTGATGAGTTGGAAAACCCTGATTCCAAACCAATGGTGCACATGGGCTCCAGTATCCTGAAGGAACAAATGGTGTATGAACCTAGTGTTGGTCACAAGCTACCAAGGGACTGAATCTCCTGACGTCGCTCCACTGCCTTGCGGATCAGACCTTTAGGTCGAGGGCTCCGAGTGTGGCCCCCTAAGAAAACCACCTGTTTCGGTTTGGGCACCCGGGCAGTATCCCAGCCGTCACACAAACCGAATGATTTATGTGGCGCATATGTATTTGGTGCCTCCTTGTACCAATATCTGTGTTCAAACAATAAATAATAAATAGTTGATTAAATGGTTAAACAGCGATATTTTACTTGATACAGGGGTGGTGTGACAATGAGTTGATTTTTTTTAATAATAGCAAACTTCTCTACATAGATAGCAAAAAAAAACTCAGATCTGATAAATATATCTGCCCGTAAAATTAGGGTTTTAAACATATGAAACGTGATATCAACCTTTTTTTAATGCACTAAAAATAAGGGATGTCAAAAATACTGTGAATGGCCGACGTCAAACAGTTCCTCAATACAAATCTTGATTTCCACAGGATCGAAAGATACATTCTTTAAGGAAGTGAATAATCAGATTGTGAGAAGTTAAACCCAATGATGACTTCAATATTAGACGAACCTTAATTTCGTACTCAAAAATTCATGTTTAATTAATATCTTCAGTCTTTAGTTTTCATACATGAAAGAAGGTAGGTTAACTGATCAATGAACAAATACGAAAGCAAACTTATCAAAACGTTGAAGTGTCAAATGACTTTTTATTTTAGCAATAAACTAACATAAAAATACGCAACCAGTATGTGTAGTATATAATTTTGATGATTGTATCGCCAAATTCACTGATACTAACATACACATATACTTTTAGGTTGAATTATTGGTTATTGGAAATGTGCGTGAATGAACATACACAATAACAAATACTAAATAAATTTTTGTCAATGAATAATTACAATATGATCAATTAATTAGTTGTATATAGCTGAAAATTCGCGTCAATATAGTTTGAAATATTGTTAAACAATGGATGACAAAAGGATGAAGGACATCATCAACATAGAACCTGATACAGAAGTACGTTGGCTTAAGTTGCTATGATAAGCATATTAATACAAATTTGAATAACTGTAATACTATGTCCCAAGAAAATAATGAACTAAAATTATGGAATACTCTTTACAACATATATCCCATTTGTGCTAATACAGTTCTGTTTGTATTGTTTCAACTATGCTTGGAAGTCCTCAGAAGTCAGGATTAAGAGCTGCTTTGTTGTTTCCTATATTATTGCCTTCAGCACTGTTTGACACGACACGAACATTTTGCATGTTAGGAATAAAATTGTAAGTAGCTAAGTCAGTTATATGGGAGGGAAGATCTAACACGGTGATAGCACAACCTTTAAAATTCGTGGAATTAGGTTTTCGTGGACTCGATACACGTACTTTTGATGGATAAATTTATAAAATTAGAGACTATATCAACTAGTAACCAAATAAAGATAGGTGTGACTCAAAATAGTGAGGTTTTAAGCTACAAAGCCATTGATCAGAACTAAATTGTCTTAAAAGTCAAATTCGGAAGTTTATTGGATAAATTATAAGAAAACGAAACTAAGGTTAGAATAATACACGATGATGTAAAATCACAATATATACAAAAACATTATAAAGTAACAAATCCACAGTACTAACTCGTCGAACATCGGCTGATTTTGGTTCAGCAGACCAACTGATAATTTTTCCAATTGCATTAATAACTTCATTTGATGGATTAGCAATCAAATCCGGACTCATCATTAAAATTAGATCTTTCATATATTCTAATAGACAAGTTTTAACACGAAAATTTGGTGTATGTGCATTATCCATAATAAAATGACAGCAACTAATGAATTGCGAATTCAAAGGAAAGTGAGATCTATGAATAAAGAACGTTTGAAAACAAAAATTGGAAGTATAGAAATAGACAGTATAGTCAACAGAGCATTATTCATTAAACGTTTTAATTAATTTCGCAAAAAAAAAACATTATCCACCTAGTGTGAGGAGAGCTATTCGTTTTCAATAAAAATGTGACATCTAGCATCTTTACGTTCATTTAGTGTGCTCATAGTCGATATAAGATGGTAATTTCACAGACTTCATTTCAATTAGCTAAATCGACCTACATATGTCGTTTATGAACATGACACTGCAGCGCATTCCAAATTGTAGAACAAAAAAAAGCAAAACAAGTGAAATTTAGAATCTGAGAAAAAATCCTCAGCTCTACATGCCAGTACTCGTCTACTAAATGGACTAAAAATCGCCTGAAAATGCTTGATACTACAGACATATGGAGCATTGAAAATGGATGCGCTATGAATTCATGGGTAAGTATATTATCACTCCGTTAACATGTGTTCTGATTTAAATTTATCATATTTTCATGCCACACTGAAACTCATTTCAAAATAAATAGTCGTTATTTGATTTTGTTTAGCATGATGATGAGTTTGGTGCAGTTTACATTATATAGGACCATAAACACATTTTTTTAATTTACAGATACTACTTGACCTTCTACTATTACACATTACTCATATTCAACACTTAGAATTTTCGAAAGAATAGTTATACATGGCATTACTTCATAAAGTTATTAACTGCTGCTATGATTCGTGTTGAGAAGTATAGGTTACCTGGTTGGGGCCGATGTAATCAGTCAGTAAGTCAATCAGCTACAACGAAAGACCAGGCACATACGTCATTGGTCAAAGTTGCCGTACCTCATTAGCACAAGATCAACACGGGATTCATAGAAGTGGTAAATGCAGTGGTGGTAATATATAAAAGAAAGATTGGATATAAGGACATAGTTCAGGAAGAAATAATTAGTTCGTAGAAAAAAAGATATGAAGTGATTTTAATCTTATAGTTTAAGGGAAGACAAAAAGTGTATACACCTACGCCATTGTGATCGATTCTGAGCTATGTCACCAAGAGTCTCCAACCACTACTTACGATAGTCATGCAGACCCCAACCAATTAGTCTGCATCTACCAACATGGCTCAGACTACAAGTTAGTGACTTCAAGCACTGATGCTATGTTTTGTTTGGCCGCCCATAACCTTCTTCCAACCATCCCCAACACTAGTTAGTATTGTGCGTCGTGGTAATCGGTGTTCAGGCATGCGCAACACGTGGCCCAACCATCTCATTCGATGAAGATTCACAACATCATCAACTGATTTGCCGTCATTCCCTAATACCCTGCGTCTAACCTCACTACTACTTACTCGGTGATCCCAGCAGATGCCAGCATAGGTTGGAAGACAACAAGGATCAGAATAGGTCACAATGAGGCCGTTGTTATATTCATTATTTTTTGTTATCTCACTTAAGATCAAGATTTTCAGTCTTAGTTAACATATACCCTACCAACCTAACTTTTTAAACCACAATCTCAATGTTTAGTCTTTCTTATTATCATTGTTACAATATTAATTCGATTACTTTTGTTATTTATCGTGGTAATTCCATCTCAACGTTTTGTTATTGTAGTACATAAACGTGGGGATAAATCACATTTTTCGGCAAGCTATACAATGATTACGGTTGACTAATTGATAAACCGGCTATAAACCTTATTAACGAGAAAAGTTATACATTTTATTTTCCAGAACTTCCACATATCGAAATAATACAACTGTACACAACCTTATTTAATGGCAAAGTCGAAATAAAAACTGCTCTTCATCAAAATGTCTTTGCTTAACAACAAATCATATGTATGAATGAGTATGCGAGTGATATCGTCTTACCATATAATGACACTCAGACCATACAATTCGCACTTAATCAGTTGGCAATTAGTGTCTGTAGGTAAGGCATGTGCTTTTTACAACCTCATTTTTATTGTATGAAGCATATGTATTTTGATGGTCCCGTCCACCAGTGTTTATGCGTCCAAATGAAATAAATAAATGATTACCTTCCGCATTCTTCCTCTCAATTGATATATTGAATTTTTTGCAGCAATGCTTTCAACAAAAACAAAACTAACGACTGAGTGAATACAGTTCAATTTAGGATGAAACTGTTATTCAACTGTTCATAATACACTAGGTGATACATGTAAGGGAAGAATACTAGCAAACTCATATACATGAAATGTCACTAACCTGAGAACAAAAAGTGTTTCTTGTATTGCTTTCTGATGACTGCTCAAAGCCTCATGACTTTGACGATACAACAAACGTATTAATAGAGTGTAAAGCCAATCACGAAGTAATGGATTATATTCTTTAATAAAGAATTGTAATGTATCCATAAATAAACTAACAACCTTTGAAGGAGACGAAATAGGAAAAACAGAATAGAGAAGTACATTGATATTAATAATAACAAAAACCATGTCACGCATTTACCATGTTGAAATTTATGTACACAACCTACGCATTCTTGTGTATCGAAATATTAGGACCAAGACAGATGGAGTGCAGCTTGAACCTACGATCAAGTGACTGAAGATTAAGTGCTTTAACAAATAAGCCGCTGGGTTACATGCACAAAAAGCGAACACGTAATATAATTTTAAAATCAATGAAAACTAAAATAAAAAGAGGGGAGAAAATGACTTACTTTACTTTGAGAATCCGCAAACATTTTAGAAAATATTTCAGTTAAGCAGTGAATATCGTCAGGACTATAAGGGAAATTTTTCAAGGAAAAAAATCGGGTTAAATGTGCCATAGAATTTTTAAAAATTATTTGACGAATCAATTATTTACTAAAATCTGACTCGTGATGTTTTAATAATACAACTGGATATTTATTATAAACTTTCATTGAAACAATTGAAATTGGGAAGTGGTTTATATATGTAGTGAACGAGAACTCAGGTGGGGAAAAACATTATATTGTTCAATGCAAAATTACAAAGTACTTTCTTGAAATATGAGAACCATACATTAAATACATTATTTGCACATCAACCTTCAGTTGACCTTTACATGCTTCATGATTCTTTCAATTTTGTTGTTATTACGATTGTACTGTCTACTTTCCTGTTCTCTTCAATTCATTCTTCTGCTGCCAGGCATTCCACTACAGATTAGTGTTGTATACTACTTATATCTATCAACATAAGCAGCATACGCGACACACTTGTAAATATACAAGTATCAAGGAATATTACTTTTATATGATAAACTCAGTTACCAACATGCAGGATATATATACTTTACCTTCGAGGTACAGTCTAAATGTGTTACAGCTATTGATAGAAGGTATCTAACAACTCAAACTGAACAAGGTGGATCGCGACTAGAATTTAAGGCTAAGTGGTTCAATGTTGAACATCTTAACAAGTTAGTCACCACAGAATCACTAAAAGATGATAGCACAAAGCTAAGTTTGACATGATACTTTCGAATAAACTGACCATTGGGTAGATTGTTATGAATAAGTAATATATTTGTAATATTCTTGTTGTTCCGTTGTACTATTTAAACTTGGATTAATTTTGACTTGGTTATTTAGTCTCTGAAGAAGTGGCTTACACTAAGTCACGAAACGTAAGAAAATCTAATTCTTCTACTCATTGAGATATTACAAATATATTACTTATTTTTAAAAATCCCTATTAAGTTCGTATAAAATATTAGTTTGTTGTCAGGACAGTGGAAATAAACTCACAGAAGCAAGTTTCACCTAGTGATATTTATAACATAAAATGAACACATCCTTCAGTATGTCAAAATTGAATGTCAATAACATTCATCATAGAGTCATAGGGGTTCAAAAAATGTTTGTACGAAGTACTGGAGTGTCTACATTTGTCGACAATTCCAACTTTTAGATATTAGTGAGTGGAATTGAGATCGAAGACGAATATCTACTCGAAAAAAACAGCAAATTCGCATACTTTCTAGTCGAATTCTCCATTGACAACTTAAGTGTGCTTCAAATTTTAATATAAAATATTGTTTGTTGATTCTTTTTTAAAGACTAAACAAAACTGATAAACAGAGTTCTTTGAGAGTGATATCCAGATTTTACAAGATTTACATATGGATGTAATGAAATGTGATTATTGGAAACAGCAGTTGGAGACGTTGCGTGCCATTGTTCAAAATCAATCGCAATTAACCTCATGCATTTACACTTTATTTTACATTATTATTACTGATGGTTTTATTCATCAGTATTATATTTTTGGTAGGATATAAAATTCTCAGCACAAAGCATTTCAACAAGTTTCTTTTCCTTATTTTTTGATCGATCCTGACAATAAATATTGTGATCGACAATCAGATGTTAGCAGTTCAGGAATCGACATCTAAATAATGTTCATTCGTTTTAATGTATATTACCAGCCACCACGATGTCTTTGATTGGATATTTTGTAACTATTACAGTGAAAGGTCGTAAAATTTTCATAAACGCGTCTGAATAGGTTATGAGATTAATAGACATAATGATGTGATAAAGCGAACAAAAAACATATAACTTGTCGAAATATCTAGATGGCAGGAAAAGGTAGTCCAAAAATTCAAGCAGGCCGCCAGTTGCCCATGCGGAATAATTGACTCTTGGGATTTAAAATGATCTTATGTTTTTATTCCGCGAAATAATTTTTTCTTCTCCTACTATCACTGATAATACTATTGGTGTTTTTACTACTCTGACATTTTTCATGATAATCTCATCTCGTTGTACTATGTTAGTGTGGCCACTTGAATTGAAGTAAATATGTACCGTGCTGTATGTTATCACTTGTGAAAAACCTTGTAATAATGGAAGAAACTTACTTAATAACCATTGATGAATCATAAGATCCTTATTAAAAAGTGTGAAAGCCTAACAAACTAATCATTATGTACTGAGCAGCGGTTGAAAGTCGAGGAATTTTGATATTGACTAAATATTATCAATTTAACAATCAGATAAGGAAGTGATTTGATATATTGGAGTGTAGTTTAATTTTTATTTTAATCAACGAAGCAAGAGGTATTACAAAAGAATTAAATAATTTTGTTAAGCTCACTTTAACGGATAACCAGAACGCATATAATTCTGTAAATTTGTTAAGCCGTCTTTTCTGTCAGACCATTGAACAGCTTGAAGTTGAGAAATGATTTCTTTTAAATTCTATTAAATATTAGAAGAATTATGCTACTAATACCAGTCATAATAAGCTTACGAGAAATATATATATATATATATATATATATATATATATATATATATATATATATATATATATATATATATATATATATATACAACTATTTACATCATTCTATTATCTATAATTATATGAACTGAACATTTGTAAACAAATATTCATAATTATACAGCTGAAAGTCATGTACTTACAACAAAGCAAATGCTACTGCATTAAGAAGCACGAATAATTTTTGGGATACATATTTCCTCAAGTTATACTACATCAGGTAGATCGGTTGAAGAACGGTAGTGCTGAAAGCAGCAGTATAATGTTCAAGGGCCAACTCGAGCTGTTAACTGTACAAGGAGTTTACAACACCAAGATTTTTTCGTTAAACAACCAATATCTATAGTTATGTTGACTTCTCAAAATGGAAGGAAGGAGTAAACGGTCGTGACTACAAATAGGACATCTCGCTATACGACAGGGATTTCCGTTCCCAGTGATAAGGTTTTTAAAACATGTAGCTAACACATCAACAACTACTCGTCAAAAGGTCGTGTGTGACAGGATTCAAGCATTTGTCTCTTCCACTCTTCTGCAACACTTCCAGTTTCCATTTCATGTACCTCAGAAAGTAGCTTACCACCATATAGACAAACGCGAATTAGTAACTGACTACATACCTTGAACAACACTTAGGACTACTGTGTACACGATGACTGAGACCGGTTTAACAACGGAATGCATGATTTAGGTGCGAATATGTGAGATTCATCTTTGAGCTACATTGAAGGATGTCTAATGGTACTTAGATGCAGAAAACAAAAGCAAATAAAATAAGGTTCCACATCTGTGGTTAGTGGTTGACCGAAGTCAGTAAGCTTTATTCGTTAAGACACCAGATTTACAAATGTAACGCTAAACGGAGTCGACACATTAGAATTATAATTAAAAGAGTTATAAATGTTAAATTTCCTCCGAATAAATATCAATATTCATTTAAATACAAGTTATGGTAAAGATTATAGATCAGAAAAAAGATTAATTCATAAAGTAACTGAAGAGAGAGAGAAAGACAAGTACAAAATCAACAAGCACGGAACATAAATAAGCACACACAAACATGCATAGAAGGAGGAAGATTTCGAACATTTTAAGAGGCTTTAAAGAGATTTTTACAACCCAAAACAGAGACGAACTGACCTAGATTGTACAATTTATGGTACCGATAATAAAATAATATTTATTCAAGCTATTTGATTTAACTTGATGGTGACAACAACACTAGGATTACTGACAAACTTTTCTCATTATATATATATATATATATATATATATATATATATATATATATATATATATATATATATAAACAGATAGACGGACGGATTTAGATATGGAGTCTAGATTGGACAGTAGGAACAAAGTGATGCGGAAAAACGTTTGACAGTCGAATGGACTGAAATTAAATTACCAGAAAAATAATCCAATAAGATGAACAAAACGTTGAATTAAACTAGAATAAAATTATTGAAAAGATTGAAAATGATGGATATTTAGAAAAACAATGGAGTGAGAATAAATCTGTTTTACTGATTTCATTATTTTAAGCTGTGTAATTTAAATGCTTTAGAGTTTCCAATTTATACTTTGCCAAGATAACTAGGTTGTAAATTAGAACTTCGTTTGGGCGCCTAGGCAATATTCCAGCCCTCACAAAAATCGAATGATTTGTGTGGCCCATATATATTTAATGCATCCTTGTACCAATGTTTATGTGTTAAATAAATAGTAAATAATCCCACGTCGCCTACTTCGATTTGATTAACTGGATAACATACACCAGCCGTCATATGCACAAGTGTGGCTAAACATAGAGTAAACGCACATCAGTCAGTCAGTCAGTAACAACGTAGAACTTCGTACGTACGTACATCAGTTCGAGTTGCCACACCACATTAGCACAGAGATGCAGTGGTCGATTCAAATCCCGTAGTGGTAGAGGTAATAAGAGTATAAGCAGTAATCGGGAAGATTAGGGTTTGGAGATGTTATTTAAAGAGTATAATCCAGTGAAATAAATTTGGAAAGAGAAAAAAAGAGACATGAAGGAATAAGAAGATTAGAATTTGGGAGAACACAAAGAGTGGATGCACCTGCGCCATTGCAAACGATTTTGAGCCATGTCATTCAGGGTCTCTAACCATCGGTTGCTATCATCTCGCGGTCCCCAACCAGGTAGTCTACACCTACCAACATGACTCAGTCACTTGTCAGTGACTTCATGGACTTGTGCCATGTTTTGGTTTGGCCGCCCCTAGCTTTCTTCCAACCTACTCCTATACCACTGAACATAGCACGTCGAGGCAGTCGGTCGTTGGGCATACGTAACACGTGTCCCAGCCATCTCAACTGATGAAGTTTCACTACTTCATCAATTGATTTGCCATCCTTACCTAGTACCCGTTTCCTAACAACTGCATTACTTACTCGATGGTCCCATGATATACGAGCAATATTTCGAAGACACCTATGATCAAATACTAGTAACCTACGAATATCCTCTACTCTTACCGGCCATGTTTCACTGCCATAAAGTAGGACGGAACGAACTGCTGCGCAGTAAACCCGTCCTTTGGTTGATAGACGGATATCTCGCCTACGCCATAAATGACGCAAGTTGGCAAAAGCTAGTCGAGCCTTCTGTATCCGTGCTGAGATTTCGTCACACACCAACCACAAGGGCTGATGAGACTTCCAAGATAAGTGAAGCGGTCGACACACTCAACTACTTCACTCCCTATCACTAGTTCGGGTGTCGATGTAACCCAATCCTGAAGCAACATTTTGCATTTCGAGGGAGAGAATCGCATCCCGAACATGCTTGCATTGTTGCTTAGAGTGGTCAGAAGACTCTGCATTTTGTCAGCGTCTTCACCAAATAAAACTATGTCATCAGCATATTCTAAGTCAACAAGTGAACCTCCCGGTAGAAGTTCAACCCCTGGAAATTTAGATGAGGAGAGTGTTATCTCTAAAAGTACGTCGACCACAAAGTTGAACAAGAATGGGGAGAGTGGACAGCCCTGACGAACACCACTTGAGGTAATCAATTCTGATGACAGTTCGCCATAAGCTCTCACTCTACCAGTTGTGTTCGAGTAGAGAGCCTTTATAAGGTTAATGTACTTCTTTGGTACTCCTTTCAGTGACAAACACTGCCATAGAACCTCACGATCAACAGAGTCGAATGCCGCCTTAAGGTCGAGAAATACTACCATTGTGGGGCGTCTGAATGTGTGTCTGTGTTCTAGAACCTGACGTAGTGTGAATATCTGATCTATACAACCACGTCCAGGTCGAAAACCAGCCTGGTTTTCTCTAGTCTGCTCTTCACGAGCTTTGTTAGGCGTCGAAGTATTATTGAAGCTAATATTTTAGACACTATATTAGTCAAACTGATTCCTCTGTGATTGTCACAAGAGGACTTTTGTCCTTTCTTATAGACTGGCACAATCAGTGATTGAGACCAGTCAGATGGGATTACGTCCAGTTCCCAAATTCTACCTAAGACCTCAGTTAATCTCATTGCTAATACTGGACCACCATCCTTAAAAATCTCAGGAGTAAACCTGTCAGGGCCTGCTGCTCTCCCTCGTTTCAGATTTCCTATGGCTTTTTCAACTTCGTAAAGGGACGGAGGACCTACATTAACTTGCCATTCAGGTTGACTGGAGATCGTGGGAAACCGAAGTGTGGCTGAAGGCCAGTTGAACTGATCCCTAAAGTGTTCTGCCCATCGATCCAATCTCCTGGATTGAGAATGAATAATATGTCCATCTTTCTCTGAGATTGTTTCGCTAACGGTCGGTTTCCTAATTCCGGTTTCCTTAACGAGTCTGAACAATTGTCTGCTATTACCTATTGCCGCTGCCTTTTCCATCTCTCTTGCTTTCGCTACCCACCACTGTTCGCGATCATTGCGTAGACTTCTTGTCAGCTTGCGCTTAAGCTGACTCCGCTCTTCATTATGTTCAGAGCCAGGTGGAATGAGTTTCCGAGCATCTATCAGTGCGATAGATGCTGCTGAGATCCAGTGTTGCTCCCTAACCTTCTGGTTTACCTTACTAGCAGATATCACTGCTGTTTCCACAGCTTTTCGGATATCATTCCATGCTGCATCGGGGTGGGCATCACATACATGGCTGCCTAACTGTTTTCCTAGTTGTTCCTGAAATATACTCTTAGCTTGACTATCATTAAGTAGGCCCTAAGAGGTTTCCTTGCAGCGTCTTTCCTACGTCCAGTAAGACGCAAGCAAATACGCGCTCGCACTAGAGCATGATCTGAATCTAGGCATGTGCTCCAGAATGAGCGACAGTCTTCTATCGAGCCCCTCCATCGGTGGCTGATAGCGATGTGATCTATTTGGGTCCAACGTTGGGACGAATTAGGGGGTCGCCATGTTAAAAGATGTTTTTCCTTATGCTTAAAGTTAGTATTTGCAAGGAACAGGCGGTTATCTGAGCATAGCTGCAACAGACGGTCGCCATTATCTGTTCTTTGAGCCACGACACCATAAGATCCACCTAGGTGTCTTTCCCTATCGCTTAGTTTACCTACTTGAGCATTAAAGTCACCGGCCACTATTACTACATCCGAGCGCCTAGCTTTTCGGAGAAGGTCGGAAAGCTTTCTGTAAAACTCATCTTTTACATCATCTGAGCTGCAGTCAGTGGGAGAATAGGCAGAGACGACGAAGAGGCAACGACGAGTGTCCCTATCTTTCCGGATTCTTACTGTTCCGTTCAGTCGGACAGCGCACAAACGACTGTCTACTGGGATCCACTCTAAGAGAGCTAGTTCTGCCCTAGGACTCAATGCTATACCTACGCCGGCGAGGCCACGGGAAGCAGAATCAGGGCTTCCAGATACACGAAGCGTAAATCGAGTCGGTTCTTTATTTTGGCATGGTGAGGTCAAATGAATGACGCTACTCGGATCCTGTATGCGCGTTTCGGAGACGCAGCACACATCGATGGCGCGAGATTCTAAAGTCCTAGCTAAGGAAGCCTGTTGTCCTATTTGGCAAAGTGTTCGTACGTTAAAAGCTCCTACGTGTAGTTTAGAGCGTGGTTTCAGGAGACCAGGAATGGCGTTCCACGTACTCGAATCGTTTGCCCTAGCGGTGCGAGGTGATAAAGAGACGTGAGGAGGGTTAGTCATGGAGATAAGAGAGGTATTAGGAGGTGTAGGAAGGATTTGAATGTGACCACCTTGGTCTCTTGTGCTGTTACGGGTATGAGGGCTGATGTCACTTCCCGGCTGCCCACACCGTGGAAGGGTATTTCTTGAGGAACCTGAAAAGGAAATTGGATTAGTGTTGGTCTTGACGACCTGGGAGCGTGACCGCAGAGCCCAAGGGACAACTGCTTGAGGCCGGTCGCGCACGGCCTTTTTGTGGAAGGTTTTTGACGTGTTAGCTCCGTTCTTCAAAGGGCCTTACCGCCGGAGACGGAAATCCGTGAGGTAAGGTGAGGTGTGACATTTTTAGGGTCGACCTTTTCTAACCCCACCCCTCCTTGTGGGAAGGCAGCATCGCTGTCATGCTGGTTGTCCGAGGGAAACACCTTACTGCTGTCACACCCTCTACAGTCAGCAGTACGACTTCGCCCTCAGACCTTGAGTTGCTGCTTTTAGTCTTACCGTTCTCCAATCGACCTGCCTGGCATGGTAGAACCTACAGGAACATATGTTCCAGCCAATATAGCTCGGTTGGGTCATCACGATAGGCAAGCCCGACCACCGCGTCAAGGTAGCAGCTTCGGTCGGGCAAACGCACATTGCCATTCTGTAAATACGTTATTAGAAGTATCAGTCAGTTATAATCAATGTAGAGTATGGAGAAGAAATAAAGCATCCCAAGTTACCACACCACGTTTGCACGACAAGATGGATGACGAGAGATAGAAATAATATAGAAGAAACGTTATTAAGGATGACTGAACATTGAGAAGTTCGTACAAAAAAGCAGATTGGGAAGTTATATATGAAGGAATGTTGGAATTTAATATCGAGGTGGAGATAAAAAGTGAATGCACTTTTGCCATTTTGAGCCATATCATTTAAAGTCCCTAACCACTGATTGTGGTTATCGTATGAAATTCAACAAAGTGGTCTATACTTACTAACACGACTGAGATCAACAGTTAATAACTTCTCGGAGTGATGCTATGTCTTGGTTCGGCTTTCTACCTACGCCTATACCACATAGGTAGGGGCAGTGGTTGGACATAAGTAACATTGTCCTAACTACCCTAGTCAATGAAGATTTAAAACCTCACCAACAAACTAGCCATCTTTTCTTAGTACCACATGCCTAACTTCAACGTTGCTCACTCGGTTGCTCCAGAAGATGTGAGTAATTTGTTTTCAAGACACCTATGGTAAAAAAACTGTAGACTACGTATGTCTTCTACTTTCATATGCCATATTTCACAGACATCAAATAATATAGAGCGGAATACCGAGAAATGCATTGACTAATTGTTTGTTAGCCGGAGATCTCACTCAAGTCATAAGCGATTCAAGGATGTGCATACATTATGGCGAAATCTAAACCAGGTCCCATAAATAAGAAGTCAGTAGTATAATGAACAGACAACTTATAATCATCGTTCTTTATTAGACTACTCAAAGAAAATAACTTTCTTCAACAGTGAAGCGACCACTTCGTAAGTACACAAACACACAGAACTATTAAGTAAAAAAATAAAATATTAATAGTGATCTTATCTTTGTGAAAAATAAACTTACACTAGTCACTTTGCTTGAGGACTGGCGCCTGTACCCGGGTGCTGAACGACCTGAACGTTCAGAACACTGTGATGATGTTTCACTGAAGTTATCGTCTGAGCCATATGGACCACGACTGTTTCCAGTTGAGTAATGTCGACCATATAAAGGCTAAGGAAGATAATATAACAACAGAAGCAATGCGTAAACAAACGTTCACTGGTAAGATAGCTAATAGTCTGGTAAGTAAAGAAAACTAATATTTAGTAAAACAATGTTGATATTCTATTCACCTTTGCTACACAGCTGGAAAGCAATTCGAAAATCAATGTCCAACAACTAGAACCATCACTACACGTGATGATTAGATTCAATTAGACTTTCATTTTTCAAATGAAAATATATACCATATTACAGAACAATCTCTCTTGAAAATGCGAAAAGAAAATACTTTAGCATAAATCTATAAAATATGTTCAAATTAGGAAAGAGGGTAACAAAGATAATTCTTGGTATCAATCAATTAATCGACGAAAATTATTTAAAGAATCTTCCTGCATACATATGTCAGTTATCTTGAACAAAATATCCACGAGAGAATGATTTGTTTTATCAAGAAAAATAGTAAGTTGTAATATAACAGACCTAAATTATTTAAAACAAACTGCGGAATATTTATACACCTTGAGAATAAAAGTAAAGAGAGAAATGAACAACGTTTCACTGATGTTCTATCATATAATCGAAATTCAGATTTCAACAAATCAAATTCAAAAGAACACTGTAAACTAAACTGATACTTATAATAAGGGAATGTATTTTACTTGTGAAAATACATGTTTTTTTTAGAAAATCTAATACACTAATTGAGTTGGATTTGCTTACAACATAAAACATGTATTTTTTGGTACATTTACATTTATAAAAACGACTTTAACATTGAATTTGCTCCGAGGCAAACACCATCCTGAAATGCTCTTCATTTTTAATATGAGAAATAAAAATTTTGTCTTGATGGTCCATTACTTCTCAAAAATATGCTCATTTTTACCTTACAGACAATCCCTAAACCGAACACTGTTGATTTTTCTTAATACATTTTCAGATCAAGATTAATTAGCCAGTAGTGGAATGTATCATATATAAGGAAATACGTTAAATTTAATAAAAAAGCAATAATTGATTTGTTGACTAGTTTCTATTCTAGTTTATTGATACTTATTGGATTAAGAAATTCATATCATTAATGTGATTTTCGTGACTCGATTCTATACGTCAAATCAGTATCTACTGATCAATAGTCAACAACCTCAATTGTAGAGACATTATATCTCATTTTTGCTCGGATGAGTAGATGCTAGTTATTTTGATAAAAAATCCATGTTTAATTTATAAACGGTAAATTATATATATGGTATCATATGGTTATTAGCTACCTTGAAATGATTGAAGACATGTGAACATGAAGTTTTTTTAAAACGAAAATCACATTAATATATTGAGAAATAATAATGAATTATCCAATCATTGTTAGCAATGGACGACTAATGTGAAAAAAAGAGTAGAATTAAGCTACTAATCAGTGATAATAATAATATCTCTGTACTCATTACATACAAAGATGCATGATTGACGAATAGTAATGCATCCAGACAAAACGTGCACGCCTTAATCAATACAAGACAGAAACATTTCAACATAAATGATATCTATTAATCAGTTAATGTACATTTTATTGAACTCAAAATGAATAAATTATCACCAATCGTAATAATAATAATAATAATAATAATAATAATAATAATAATAGCTTACTCCATCGCCGAGGTCAGCGCAATCACTTAAAGTACCAAGAGATGCTGAAGAAAATACCCCCAAAAAGGGAGAAAAAAAATTAGAATGAGTTATTTTATATTAATAGACATGTTTAATCAAATATCGTATATTGGTAAGCATGTTGTAGCTTTAAGAACTGAAAACAACGAGTATGCATTGAATGAAATGATGAGAACATGTGTGCGTTGGAAAGAGAACACATGTCTTAAAAACGGTTGTCATATAAGGAAAGAACAAATGTTAGATACAAAAACAACAACTTTAGAATGTCCTGACATGATGGTTGTCACATTAATCAATGAAGACACACGCCAACGTTTGTATTCGATAATACAAGTAAAACGGCATACCTGAGAGTCTAGTTTTATTCTATTACGTTATCTAACAACGGAACTTAGTTGGTTGACTAATTTATTGTAAACAGGAGTGATAGGTTGCCACTGAATGAACACAAACATTAAAAAAGAACACAGGTTTAGTTGATTAAATCATTCGGCTTTCAATGAACAGATTGCAATTTTGAAACCCGGTAAATCTTATTTAATTTTATGGGAGTAAAGGCGAATATATGAATTCGTATTTGGCAAATTAATCAATCATGATTGTCATCGCATAAGTAGAATTGAAAACAAAAGACCTTGTCATTGAATATTCCTACACCTCAGTAAATCAGTTGAGAAATCACCTAAATTATTTCAGATTTAGTCACCAATTGTCGTGTGTAAAATTGAACAGACGTACAAAATTACCAATCATTATGCATCCTGTTAATGGGATGACTGACTGACTGGTAAATAACCTAACAGTAATTAGGCTGTTCAAAAAAACTCAACCTCATTCTTGGCAACGTATACAGAATTTGTAATAATAATAATAATAATAATAATAATAATAATAATAATAATAAATAAATAAATAAATAAATAAATAACAAAGACAGAATAATTGATTACACAAAAACGTATAAAAAGCGCTTTATTCTTTTCAACACAAGATTTTCACCTCATCAACCATATTGAGAATTACTATTAAGTTATATACACAAATAGTAATATAAAGTATGACATTTCTGTATTAAGGTACACATTACACACTTCGCTTTCTTATTTTGTAATGTTTTTTTCTTAAGAAAAGAAAAGCTATAAATAATGAAGATCATATTAACATCGAAAGTACAAAATAAATAATGAACAACTGTAAATGACAATGTGAATTATATTTCAGCCAGTTATATCCAATATAGAACCTGACACATATATAGATCAGATTCAAGTTACCACGTCATAATATTAGCACAATCAGATGAAGTTATCAAGGCCGATAATGTCAGAGTAGTAGAATTAGTAACTGTGTTTATTAATGGTAATAGAAGAGACTGAGCACAAGACAATATGATTTAGTGAGAAAATATAGAGGGTAGTGCATGGAATCTAAAGATTATGATTAAGATAATTTATAAACTTTGGATTTCAGATAAAAAAAGAGTGAATGCATCTGCCTCATGGTGGATGATTCTGAGCTATATCATCATCATGAGGACACCAACCGAGTGGTAGTGATCATCAACCTACTTACACGGTTCATTCACTCGTATATGACTTTATGAATTGATGCCACATTTTGGTCTGACCATCCTTAGCTTCTTTCCAACCTACTACTACATAAGACTTTATTAAACAATGAAAGAAAAGAAATCGAATAACATGACACTGTTTTTTAGAGATGGTTATCGGGTATTTGATACATGATTACTAAACACAATGGGAAGGTGAAGAAATTATTGCGGTAGCGTCGTCAAGACAGTGGATAACTCTTAGAGATGATTTTGACCTCAAGTTGATGGAGGAGACAAAAATCGAGAAACAGTATTGATGGGAAGCATTTGATGAAGGGATTCCAGACTAGAAGTAAAACAGCTATGTTCGAGGGACTGAGATATCACCTAGGATCGGCAAACGGAACGAAAGTCAGCAACACAACAATAGGACAAACTAATCCATTCCATTGCGCGCCATCCCTGCTAACTAGAGAGAGAGGACCAAATTCAGCCGGGAAAATATGTAATTCTACAAGCAGCCCAGAAGAACGAACGAACAAGCACATAACTCATGAGTATATACACAATAAAAAAATGTCATTGAAAAGCGTCATATAATAGCGTATTAAAAGAGAAAACGAATCAAAAACGTTTAAGATCCTAACTGATGGGAAACACAAACTGAAGGTAAAAATGGGTGCTTTTGGAGCGAAAATGAGAAAATTAAATTTCCATCACGAAATTACAAAAATGGGAAATTTACCAGCAAAAACCTGTGTTTAACGTCTGCCAACTGAGTTTTAGTAGTTCTCCTCTTCATGATGAACTTCGTCGTTAAACATGTTTCGGTACAAAAGAAAATGGAAAACGGAGTTTGCCTAAGTTTGTATCTCATTCATCTAGGAGGTAAGTTTCATCATGAATAGCTTGGTTTTGATTTCTTAGATTGTGCAGTTGGGTAACACGACAGTATTAGGTATGTTTTAGTAACAAGCAGCACTTAGTACGAAACCTAGATCAAGCAAGGTTTTCTTCCGATTACTCTCAACCACCTAAAATGATTTACGAACTTAAAAATAATGGAAAGAAAAGTACCAAAGTTCCGAACAAGAAACTAGAGGACTACCAGGTGAGATGTAAGGCGTACACTGTACAATCAATCGAGACCATTAAAAATGCCACTAACCAACCAGCAAGACAGACTTGTGTATTTTTATTTTTAAAACATCCGGATTTTACCCTTAATGTTAACAGGTTAAGGAACAATTCGGTTTAGAAACATGAAAGAATTGAGATCAAAAATGTTTTGGGATGAGTACACATAAGCAATATATAAAAATTCTGTACTCTACGAAAAAATAGTTCATGCATCATCATTCTACTTGCTTCCAAATAAAGGGAATTTTTTGTTATAGTCAAAAACCGATTTTAACAAGAATGTTAGTTGAACCATAATACAAATACTAAAAAAAAATGACATAGAGATAAGAATACTTAGTTTTCAATCGATAGATCATGAATTCGAACCCCACTAGTATTACTAGAAATCCACATAACAAATATGTCCCAAAACCGCGTACATGAATATGGACATAATGAATAAGTTAGATTGTATTACTCAACAATGAAGCTACAGTTTTTGAGTATGTAAAAACGAATGAACACTAATTCGATTGCTCAAAATAGTGTTTGAACAGTTTACATATTGTGATTCTAATCAACGTAAAATAAATGCTCACAAGTTAAATAACGATGTATAAATGATAAATAGATATCAATTAAACTAACGTCTTTGTTGTTGTTGTCTCCGATAATTCATTTGTCCAAATTGATTTGTACCAGTTAATTGAAAATTATTATTATGCTGATATGAAGGCATAGTATAACCGCTTGCAGTAGATCTTGTCGGTGATGTTTCTCGACTAGCGCCTTGACTACGTGGAACACGTGAATTCATGAGTAAACGTGTAGTACGATCTGTATTATTATTATTATTGTTATCTACAAATCCTATTGTACCATTACGATTAGTATTAGTTGTATTGAATTGTAATTTTTGTCCATCATTATTATTAGATGCAGTAGTACCATAGGTAGTGAAATAGGCTAGACGTGATGGTGAAACTTCACGACTTGTAGCTAGAACGATTTATATATAAATATGTAGGCATAGAAAAAATTCTTTTAAAAAAGAGTTATTTCATTAAAAGAAAAAACAAAACGTAAAAATTTGTGCACAAATACGCTGAGATGCAGGATGGGATAAAAATTTATAACTGGTCTTTCCCACCATAAATAAGTAACATTTAACGAAAACATTTTTTCTAAAAAAAACAACAGTAAAATCAATAGTATATTATCACTCAATACTATTTTATCATTTGATATACTATTAGTACTAGTAACGTTTGTTGTTAATGTATAATTGTGTTTGTTTAATTCAAGAATTATTATTCTTAAACAGAGCAAAAACAAAGATTGTTGCAGAATAATATGAATTCATTTTATTTCATTAGGTTCTCATCAGCTATTTACAACCTGTAATATTTAAAATCAACGTTATTACAGATATTGACATACTCACAGATACGTAGGTGGTTAGAGATAAATATGTTTATCATGATGTAGAGAAGATTCTAACAGAGTTAATAAGGACATGAAAATTTTTTTTCGAATGAATAAATAACGTTTGTAAGGGGAAATTCCAGAACATTGCAATAGTGATTAGAACTCATAGAGTTAACAAACATTAGATGATTGTGTAATGAAGCAACTGAAAACAGATTAATGGTAATAAGTAAAGATATGAATTGAAATCAGTCACTTAGGAATGAAAGAAAAATGGCAATGATGTAATCAAAACTTGAGAAAGAGTTGAAATAATGAATGACGCAATAAATATAAAAGGATGTAATGTTACCAGGGCTAAAATAGATTAATTAAACGGTAGTTTATGAACGGTGAGACATATATTACCAGTCAATAACCAAGACCTCCAAATCCCTGGTACGGTCGACGATGGGGGGAGTCCGCTCTCCCTCTCGAAATGCCCTCACATGATCACACGTATGCAGCTAATGTCAGGGAAGTCCTACTCACTGCCTTCTCACGTTATGGGTGTTGTTTACGAAATTGAGAGGACGAAAAGCGAATGTCCGGCTCTTTAACCGGGTTAGTGGACATGGAAAGTCCACCTAGGTGAGTTGGAAAACCTGATTCCAAACCAATGGTGCACATGGGCTCCAGGATCCTGAGAGAACAAATGGTGTATGAACCTAGTGTTGGTCACAAGCTACCATGGGACTGCACCTCCTGACGTCGCTCCACTGTCTTGCGGATCAAACCTTTAGGTCGAAGGCTCCGAGTGTGGCCCTCTAAGAAAATCACCTGCTTCGATTTGGGCACCCGAGCAGTATCACAGTCCTTACACAAATCAATAATAACCACTACTGGCCTCATTGTTATTCTGTGGCACATACGTATTTGGAGCTCCGTGTACCAATGTTTATGTGTTCAAATAAATAAATGAGCAATAGCTTAAATAGAAGCCTAGAAATTTGGGAAGCAAGAAAACCAAACGTAAACCAGATGTTTATCAAATACGCGATAAAAATTTATTAATTATTTATTTATTTTAACACATAGATATTGGTACAAAAAGGCACCAAATACATATGCGCCACACAAATCTCATTTGATATGTGTGAGGGCTGTGATACTGCTCGGGTGCCCAAACCGAAACAGGTGGTTTTCTTAAAGAGCCACACTCGGAGCCTTGACCTAAAGGTTTGATCCGCAAGGCAGTGGAGCGACGTCAGGAGATGCAGTCCCATGGTAGCTTGTGACCAACACTAGGTTCATACACCATTTGTTCCTTCAGGATACTGGAGCCCATGTGCACCATTGGTTTGGAATCAGGGTTTTCCAACTCATCTAGGTGGACTTTCCATGTCCACTAACCCGGTTAAAGTGCTGAACATTCGCTTTTCGTCCTCTCAATTTCGTAAACAACACCCACAACGTGAGAAGGCAGTGAGTAGGATTCCCCTGACATTAGCTGCATACGTGTGATCATGTGAGGGCATTTCGAGAGGGAGAGCGCTCTCTCATCACTCTCAGCCGTACCAGGGCATCTGGGGGCACGCGACAAAAATAAACATAATAATTCATCTGAGAATAGTTCTTCAAGTTCCATTTCTTCTAACTCAAATATATATTGACACTAAATCAAAGTTAGAATACATTTATAACATTTTAGAGTTAAAACCTAACTGGTAGTTTATTTGACTGAATTGAACCGAAATCAGTGCAACACAGTAGTTCGGTAAAGTGCATTTCATTAGAAATACAAAAATAAATGTATTCAGTTTTGAGCTACATTTTATATCAGCGCTAAAATGAAAACTACTAAAGCATGAGTGTTCAAACTGAATTTGGTGGAAAACGATTCGACAGTGAGATTTAACATTTATTTTAGGATAGTAATTAGGCAGTTATTTGGAGATAACTGCTACTACCACTTAATGTTATATTGATGTTTACAAATATCATTCAATATGATCAATATATTTCAATGGTTCAATAGTGTATTAATATCAAATAACAAAATTTCATCATATTTGTACAAAAAGGTATGTGATTATTTGCTAAGCACTTTTACACAAATGTACATACATATATGACAAGTAATTAGCTGTCTATTTTGACATGTGTATAAATACAACAATGTCTGAAAAGGTGGAGTTATTCAAGTTACGAAGGGATTCAGTACGAGTAATGGGTTATTTGTAAGACTTTATATTATCCCATTGTTGATATTCAGGACTGAATTTTGACTAGTCTTTGTTAGTATATACGTATCCTCTGAACATATTACCTCAACACAGTCATCTTTAACATGTCTTACGACAGATGGATTATGATAAGCAGTGAAATTCAGGACACACTACGTCCTACTTAGGACACATTAGGTGAATGTACGTGTCTTCCAGTGTTGCTGCTTTCATTGAGCCTTGAACCTTCATACATAATGTATCAAAGGCAAACGCGTTATCCACTAAGTTAATTACTTCACATTTTCACTAACTTGTACAACAGTTATGATTTCTAATCGTAAGAGCTGTTGAAAAAATAAGCTTCTTACCGATATGAATTTAAATCACATTTTACACATCGAGAAGAATTAGGGAAAATTAATCTTTAATAAAAAGGGTAGAATTCAACAATCATATAAAGGATAGCGAGCAGAACAAGGATAAAGGAGGTTTCATGACAGCCGTGTTTTAGTGAGATCTTTATCTTCTGCCATGTTTTAAACAGCAATTAAATACAATTATTTACCGTTTTAAACAAGGTCTTGAAGTTGATGCTAGTCAACTACACTAATTATTTAGTATAAATAAAAGAATTAAGGTGAGTAATTGTTTTATCATAGTGAAAGTGTAATAATTGAATCAAAACTTACGCTGTGACTGTGATACAAGTTTTCTCCCAATCTGACGTGGACGACCGTCGTAATTTGAAGCAATTGATCCTTGACGGAAAGAACGACCAACTGAGAAGAAATGTACAGAAAAATTATATTGTGACAATCATCTTGTGGTAATTGAAATATTACGAAACCGAAGGTGTATTTTTTAAGAATGAGTCTAAAGTAGGTGGCTATGGAAGAAAATACACTGAAAGACATGAATAAAAATACATTTATTCCAAAAACATTCTTTGTATTAGCACTAACGAGAAGCCATGAAGGTTGTTATTCTTAAATGAGCAGTGATTAAAATAGGCGTTGATTATAATGAATGGTGACAGGTAAATAATTCATGTTCACAGATCGCCCTCGATTGCTCTAGACATTACGTCACGATGCACTTTTTATTCGCATTATTCAACCTTTATTCATTTACATACGATTATTCGTACTCTTATTATGACTATCATCTTCCTCACACAACTCTTTGTGAAATGTTGAATTTAACCAATGCAATATTGTGACAGATTACACAACGATCTTTATTGTTTCTCACTCTGACAGGTGGAATTCAAGGGAGTTTTACTTATTGACAATTAAAGCTCATGATAAGAGCTCACTAATAAACGAGGAAACAATCACACAATGTTTCACTTCTAATATATCAGATTAAAAGCGCTAGTAACTAAAGTGGGGATGAGGTATTAAAGTGCGTGTAGATACTTCGGCAAACAATGTTGAAACACTACCTAACTGATAATATAAGTCCAATCATTGTGTACAAGCTAATGATATTATCTGGTTGCACGAACTTTGCATTTCAAGTACTCGGAATAATCAGGTGCAATTACCAGTTTTCTTTGTGCAATTTGATTTTGGTGAGTTGGCTAAATGAGCGTTCGATTCGATTAGGTAGCCGCTTCTAGTAATCCTAGGCTAAATTCGCACGGGAACTTCAACATAAAAGAAAAAGTGCGAAGTGTGAAAAAAACACTTCACTCTGAAGTTATTTTGGGTGCAGAGAAACGAGAGTTTTATGGAGTTACACACGATCTTAGGCTACTATGAGTTTCTGGGACCGTATTAAATATAGTTGCAGAATAGGTAAATATCCGACAGAAACGTGGTATGACTTAATCTTCTAGATTTTTCTGAGAAGCCTCTATTTAACGCTGATTGGATAGTGTTTCCAAGCGTTTTTGCCCCCTATGAACATTTCCGGTGAGTACTTGGAACTCACTCTAGATTTTTATTAAGTGTACACAGAGAATGTGCATGAGAATTTAGCAACTATTAAAGTAATTTAAATAAGATTATATGAATTTTTTATAAAAAAAAACAGAAACTGATAAGTAACCTTACCGGTATTATACTCATTCTGACTAGTTAATGGTGGACGACTGCGATTTGTATTATTGGCTAATGAGCTAGTGCCTAATACAGGTCGAGTTGGTCGTCTGGTACTTTGATAAGTTAAATTTGACTGACTACCAGGTTGACTCCGAGATGATCCAGTTGTCGCAGTATCACCGGCACCAAACCCTTCTGATAATCCTGCAGCGATCAAATCTTTTTCAATTAGTTTACGTTTTTGAGGATCAAGATTTTGTAAAAATAAATTTGCTTGCTCAGGAAATTTAGCAACAAATAATGGGAATGAACTAATTTAAAGGTAAACGGAAAAACGAGAAATATAGTAATAACATAAAAACTGAAGTGTTAGTCAACTTATAAAAACAGCCAATAAAGAAATCATAAGATATCCGGTTGATAATGAATTATTATTGATAATGTATCGTTTTATACATGAAACACAATGATGCAAGCAATATTCCTTAAATAAATAAACAACTCGACAATTTTTCACGTTTCAATTCGATCTGGGCACCTGGGCAGTATCACAGCCCTCACACAAATCGAATGATTTATGTGGCGCATATCTGTTTGGTGCCTCCTTGTACCAATGTTTATGTGTTTAAATAAATAAATAATAATAAATAATAACAGTAGGAATAAATACTAAGAAAAACGAGTGATATGGCAACAAAGTGCATATAATTTTAAGGTATCTAAAAGAAACCTAGTGACCACACTTTTGTATGCATCGATGATCATTGTTTAGTAAAAGCATTATTTGTAACTTCATTGATTATGCAATCATTAACCAAGTTATCACAGTACTAAACTATCTGCTTTCAAACAGATTGCTAAATCTGATAACACTAGTCATCATTCGCAAGTATCTTAGCCATAAAAATGGTTAAGGTATTGATTTGATGAAGTCGGAATCCAAAACGAAAAGTTACTTTAGGGTTATGGTGATAATGTGCACTGAATGTGTACGAACTAGTGATACCGTTCAGGTCACCAGTTTATGGGTTGTTAGAAGCGTGTGTGTGTGTGTGTTAACGATGCCTCTCAGTTGTTGGAAACGAAGTAAGGCAATAATCTTTTGAAATAATTGAAAGACATGGTTAGTGTAACCATATAGCTCAAGGGGAATCTACATAAAATTGGTTACACCACAGTTCTTACATATTAGTTATTTTATTTTATTTGAACACATAAATATTGGTATAAAAGGGCACCAGATACATATGCGCCACACAAAACAATGAGAACAAGAAGAGAAATAGAATGTAAGGTGCGTATAAGAGAAAAAAGAGAGAACAATAACGACCACAGATTAGTGTATGGCAGTGAAATAATAATAATGGGGGAAACGGAAAGAATACAACCAGAAAGAATTCTTTCAGTTAAGAAAGTTACAACCACTTTTTATGAAGTAAAAGAGGGTTACAGCAGGATCGCCACTGGCTTCTATTCTTAGCCATATCTGATAACGTCTATAGCCACTGTGTTGCACCATCTCTCGGACCCCAGCCAGGGAGTCGAGAAGGACCAACGTATTAGTTATTATAATTTTAACCCCGCTCGTTCTAAGAACTTAATATCTAGCAGCTAAAAGCATTAATTCACGAAAGGAAGCGTTGATCATTCGAGTGCAACCATATTACTGCCGTTACGTACGTGTAGTCTCTACTTTTAAATCACCTTTAGGTTCTATTCGAATCTAAGTTTTTTTTCCTCAGAAAGTGATAGCATTTCAATAACATTCCACTTTGTAACCTAGTGACTGATTATATACTGCCTAACTCGATGCATTAAGTTTATTACATATGTCCACTATGAACAAGTTCAGTCAACTTACAAAATCAACTGTGAAAGACAGAAGCATATTGAAAAAGAATGAACGTAAAAAAGTTTCAAAGCACAAAACCTGTTTTTTTTCATTTAACTTACCGTCTAGTAAATAGTCGAGCTTCCTGATCTGCATCTGAAATACCTCGCCTTAGTGCATCTTGCAATACAGAGAGATTTTTTTCAAGAATATTTAATGGCCAGGTTCGGAAAATGATTTCTAAGAATTCACAAATGCATCTATAAAAACAAATGAAACTAAATGTTCGTTAACGAATATATCCAATGGGGGTACAAAACAATATTCGAACACCGAACAGATCTGATTACCATTAGAGTAATTATACACAATGTTATCAAATATCAGAGTTTCTTTTGTGAAGGTTTGGATCTTTTCGACTATATTTACTATATGGGAGCTCCTTGAACAAGTGCATTAATACTGTCCCTGTTTGGAGTTGATTTACATAGTGAATAGGGGAGAAAAATAGGATCTATGATGCGCTTTTTGAATTATTTGGTACTCATCAGCCGAATGTACTTATACCCCAGTAATGATGTTTACAGTAAGACTGCAGATACATACACGATGTTATTGTAACTCAATAGTTTGGAGCATAACCTTCTGGTATGTCAAGCGGTAGGTACTGACTTTTGGATTTTATTGAAAAAAACACCAATATAAAACTGCAAGTACATTATCCAGCATACTAATCCCAAATAGTATAAAATGTGCATCTTAGAATTAACTGCTAGACATTTTTTGATAACGACAACAGCGTAGGACTATAGAAATGACTTAGTAGACAGATTTCTACTTTAAAATGGTAGGTCGTAAGGTTTCAACTCCGCTCCATCTGTTACCTTAGTTTGAGCAGTCGGACAGTAGTATCATTAGCCCTCACATCCAAAAGGTAGAGATTCAAAGCCGAGTACATAAATATTTATCCAGTAAATGTGTTGTTTTAGAAATTTTTATTGGTTTTACATCCGTTTAAGCTTTTATAATATAGTGTGTTATTTATCATTAGAACTATTCGAAAATGAAATAGAAACGAGAATGTTAACGGTTATTGGCACGAGTGAGGCAAATGCTCAATGCAATTCATTAAATCAAGAACTGTTATTATTTAAGTGACCTTAGCGGAGATAGGTAGGTTGAAAATAAGTTGATTATAAAGATCTAATACTAATTATCCTTTAGTATAACTGGTATTGACCTGAAATCTCAACTAGAACTAGAAATCACCACTAATTGACCATCTTTAATAGTGATTTACTTAACAGCAACAACGAATACATATTAAATATCGATGAAAATACCGAGTATGATTAATTTATCGTTAAGCGTATAAAAATTAGTTGTAAAATATATTTACACATTGGATCAGTCTGTGGATGTAGATAACCTGATTGGTGTGAGTTAAAATTAGTCGAAATGGCATAGATGCATTTACAATCTATCTTTCAATATTAAATTCCAGTATTCCTTTACATATACCTTCTCCTTATGGCTTCTCAAACCATATCCACACTAAACAGTTTTTTCTTATTAGCATTTCTTTTACATTGGTTTGACCTCTTTCGCTGTTTCTCTTCATATATTCATTTGATTGTCTTAACTTGATATGATAAACTGAGACAGTGAGCATATCTGCCAAGCTCTATGTTGATGATGACTGAGACTATTCACATCACTACTAGTTCTAATAACTAACAGATAAAGTCTACATAATCTCGATAACAATATAGAAAGAAGAATTTCGTATGTGCAACGAAAATAGTTATTGATTAGTTGTTGTTACACGGAATTAAAAACAATAAACTCACTTTCTGGTAACATTAGACTTGGATGATAATGAAGAAATGAGAATGGGGAGAAGACGAGAAGAACATGTATTCTGTGTTGGAAGTGAAGAAAAAGAAGAACGTTTTTATTGAAGGAAATATAGATAATTGACGACGGTTTATTTGGTTAAAAATTTACTTGAATTCATTCTAAAAGTTACACAATTAGCGGTATTATAAAAAGAACTGTTGAACGAAAACTTGCCTGATTACTGTTTATAAAGTTACCTTTACACTAAACAACACGAATCATTGTGATGTTACCACAAGTAACTAGTTTTCTTTGAATGACCTTCACAACATTAATTTTAGATTTGATTCTATTTGCAATGGCTTGAATTATCCCATTGCTGATATTCTTCACTGGAATTTGACCGACCTTGGTTGATATGTGAACGTTTGAGGGGAACAGTACTGGGTTCGAGTCCCAGAGTGAAACCAACTGTAGAACCCAAGTACATCCAGCTGACGAGTCCCAAATAGGGAGAAACGTGTGTGTTGGATCTAACTGCTAACCACATTACATCTATTCTATTTCCATTGTATATATTAGGATAGCTACTTTGATAATTTTAAGGTTACGTACCGTTTTCCAGTGTGCACTTAAATATTTACAAAAAATGTGTCGTAACTGTTCATACCGAAGCAAGATGAATATCCTGTATTTTATTTCAGTGTCTAATCGCCCCAACTCTTGATTATCTTCGGTGTTTAAGATGTAACAAAGAAGGCTCATTCAGTCATACGCAACGTAGAACCCGAATCATGTGCATCGATTCAAGTTGCCGTACCACACTAACACAGAAAGAAAATTATCCCGAGAAATCCAAGAGTATTAGAAGTAGTAGCAGTATCAGTAGTAGTAGAAAAGACTAGTTATCGAAAAAGGAATAAGAGAAATTCAGGACTCAGATTTCAAAGGAATATAAATAATGAATTGACCTTCTGCAGTGCGAACGGTTCTGAGCCATGTCATTCAAATTCTCCAACCATTGATTAAGATAACCATACGGACTCTAAACATACAGCATACACCTATCAACATAGCCCGATCAAACTGTTAATAGCTTCAAAGACTGGCGCCATATCCTGGTCCAGCCGCCCCGACCTTTCTTCCAACCTACTCCTACATCGGATAACATCGCCTGTTGAAGTACGAGGTGGTTGGGTATATGTAACAAATTTGACAATCACTTCAGTTAATGAGGATCCACAACTGATTCACTATCTTAACCTAGTGCATTATAACCTAACTTTAGTATCACTCATACACACAAAGCTAGTGTTAATATGGGAATTTTTAGTTTTCTATGGAAACGATTAATTTAGTACGGAGTCCAATGTTTTTTAAACTTCCCTTAGCAAGTCCAACCAAGAGTCAGTGTGGATAACATGCATTAGTTTTCATGTTTTGGTTTAGTCACTTTTGATATTTTCTGGCTCGGTCCTACATCGGCAAGCATCCTGGACAATTGATTAAATCACTGAATAGAATCTTCTTATATATCCGTTGAATTTATGGAACTTTCCATATGTAAACAATGAAGTTCATATTTTAATAACTTTATATTTTTTGAAAAACCTATAGTTGCGTAATCGCTTAAAGATATTTATTTATTTATTTACATACAAACTGTTCCCATTGATACTCGTCAGTGTAATTGGTTATTTATATTGTTTAAGTTATAGTACTTCTGCAAAATACTGTCAATGATAATAATAATAATAATACTGTCAAATGTATATCAATTATTTCTCCATGTTTTTGTAATCTGCAGCACAGACACAGACACACATACATCTACCTACTCCTGTAACTATTTTTCAATTACTTTTCTAATCAAAAAGTTTGCGAAGTTAAAACACGAACGTGTATACTAATCTCGAAATTCCACAAAAGTGAACAAACAAATTGAACCATTTCATTTCAAATACCAAATGAATAACATTTTATTGATCATTCATTCACTGTTTGAAAGGATTATAATGATGGTAACTTAAAAGAAAGGGATAATAGTTCTGTAATTCATTAAATAATTAATGATCTGGTACATATTCATGTACAACTCAACACTGAGCCACTCGATTGATTGATAGACGGAAAAGTTTTAAACTCGGAATTCGGCCATTGAAAGTGGATAATTTTCATGAATAAATACATGTTACTTTTTTACGAATAACGAAAGGGAAACATAGCTCCTAACGGCGTATCAGACTGGTATGGTACAGACATAAAACAATACCTTTTCTGTCTACCGTTCCATTCATAATCTAAGCACTGCTTATTCAGTAGTTTTAGAACACGCAGAAGAATTCCATAATTGCTGTCATAGAATACTTGCTAAATTCCTGGTATAACCTACCATAAATAACTAAATTTCGGTGGTGTAACTAGATAGTGATACCCTAAAAAGAGTACTGCAAATAATAGACATTCGGATAATGAGACTACACTAGAAGTGGCGTAGGTTATCGAGCGCTAGTTGAAATTTCACTCGATCAACAATTAACTAAGGTTGGTGCAATTCCAGATGTAGGTAAAATGGTTGAGCAACTTAATTGCATCGTTCCTAAATGTTGATTTAGATTGAATTTTGTTTAGTGATGGGTAACACGTTGCGTCTTATCAGGGTTTTCCTTTAGCTATCGCTTATTTTGTAAATACGCTATAGGGTTCCAGGTAGATATATGCAAGCAACTGGAGCACTCAACAATCAAGACCAGTGCAAGGTTATCCTTGATAGCAACACTAGAGTTGAAGGATGGGTTTGAACTTCCAACGATGGACAGATTTCCCTGAGCTCACTGAGAAACATTTGTCAAAAAACCAGCGTCTAGAGCATTCTCGATAAAAAAGGATATAATGCGATGGTAACTTTGGAAGATTTTTACTTACCTCTAAAATAAATCGCATCGCAACCACTCCACTGGTTGCCATAACTTTAGCGCTATTAGATAATAACGCAATAATTGTTTGTAAAACACTCTCAGCAAAACGATCAAAACGATTACGAATTTCTTGAGATAAAAAGCTGTTATTGAACAAAAAGAATATAAGGAAATGAATCTAGTGAACATAATTGAAGTACACGTTATGAAATGTTTTAAAGACCTTGGTGGTTTGAAGTGAATCAACAAATGAAGATGTAAACTTTCTTCGGCTGAAATGGTCGGAACACAGATAATGCAAACTTAACCCACGTCTACCCTGACGTGCCATCCTAACATATAGGAGTAGCCCAATAAAAAGGGTTAACATCAGCCAGTCTGACACACTACACCAGTCTATGAAGTCATCAACTGCTGGACTTGAAACATGTCAAGCAATCCAAGCATCCTTGTTAGTTTCCATGAGGTTGGAGACGCTAGGTAACAAAGGAATATAAACATTTATTCTTTATTTCTTTATAGCTACCAAGTTAAGTACGATTTCATACTTTTTAGTGCCTGATACTATTATTTCCTTTCGTGAATCCCTCATGCCTATCTGGTTTAAGAGACACAATGAGCAAATCTAGAGGTCGTTTTAAAGCGGAATTCAAAAATGTGACTCAGTGACAGAAAACATGTTTTTTTTTAACTAGGACACAGATTATCTATTAAGTGAGATAGATAGCTGATGATGTTTCCTACAAATACCTAGGTAAATTGGACAGGGTTTGAGTTTACAACCCAGTGGCTGAAATTTGAATATTTAAACTAATGAACAACAAGTACATAGGAGTTTAAATTATGAGTGGATATTACGTGAGAAAAGTGGGAAGTAGAGGGGTTCCAAATGTTTAGATTGAATATAGCAAACTGCATAATTGACATTCATATCCCTAACAGCTGAGTAGGTTTTAAACCACCAAAATGTAGTGTTGAATGCTTTTTGTTGAGTTACGCTTGGTAAGTACTATAGGGACATGAGTAAACGGATGTTAAGGAGGGCACGAAATGAGTGAGGACGTTTTCAGGTAAACATTGTTCCAATCTAGAGACACTTGATAATTTAAAGAAGTGATATTTAATTGTCCAAGATGTTAATCAGCATATCTACAAAGCATCAGGATCGCAACCTATGATTTTGGCTGGATAATTGTTAGGAGAAACTTTGTTGTCAACTTATTGTTTGAATACTCAAATGTATGAAATACTGAAGTGGACCACGCAATTAGTAAATAGTCTAACCACTTTAAATATTATATTGATAAAAACATTAGAACTTTTCACAATATTGATGAGATCTGACTTGAAAATTTGACTTCAATGATAATACCCCAAGGATAAATATTTTTAATAAATTATGTAGTCATGCATATGTTAACTTACGCGACTGTTATACATGCTTCTCGTACAACTGAAGACCTTAAATCACGCAGGGAAAGATCCATGGAATTTTCCAAAGTTTTTAATAAGGGAATAAATTCATCATATTGCAGAGCACCATTGGCAACTATAGCACGTAATGTTTTTAACTGAAGAGAAAGAAATGATAACAGAGTAGATTGCATGGAATTAAAAAATACAAATAGTCAATTAATTTTGATTTAAAATACTCACTAAGAATTTTTGATGAATTTTAGAGTGATTTACATTACAACCAAGCAAATTCTTAATTTTCATTTGGGGACTGATTGTAACTTAAAATTTTAAGAGGGAATTACAAATTCAGAGGAAATTTGTGTATATAAATGAATTAAGTACGACACTGGGGGATAAATCATACTACATTAGGAGCTAATCATAGAAAAGAGATTAATGAACTTAAAAAGAATGAGCTGCTATAAAATGTTGGGAAACGACTACAAAATTTGTTTTAATTATTGTGAAATTGATATTGACTTGGAATAAAAACTGCCATTATTGAATTTTTAGAATAAGTACGACCCAAAAAGAAGAATAAGGAAACAATTGAAATTACCGCATCTACACGTTTTTCCCATTCTTCAGGATTCCCAGAAAGTGCATCTTTTATACGATTGATGATCTCCGTAAGTTCTTTGGGAGAAGATGCCTACATAAGAAGTAGATAAAATGCATAATCATGTAGACTTACAGTGATTGACATGGACGGTATAAAGGACTGTCGAAATACATCCTCATCCACGGCGCCAGCACCTAAAAAAGAAATTTCTATAAAAGTACGACTTTTATAGAGAAAACTTTGATTGCTTAAAAAAACAAAATAAAATAAACACTAATGGTGTTTTGGAGTGGTAAACAGTGAAACAAAACAAGTAATAGAATGTATAGGTAAACAAAAACCACTAAAACTGTACAAGAGTGAAAGGAAAAACAAAACACAACACAAACCAATACCTGATAGTGTTAATGATGAAGATGATAATCTAGATCGAGATTTACTGATGAAATGCTGAACACTGTTATTTGTCGTATCAAGCTGTTGAAAACCACCATCATAACGACAACTGCCATCAGCATACTGTTTTATGCATATTATAAGTAATGATTTTGACAAAATGACATGTAAGAGATGACAAAATATATATGAGTGGATATGTGTGCAGAGTGGTGGCAGGGGAGGGGGACTTAATAGGAAATAATCATGCCAATGAAATGATGTGCAAAAGTGAATGATTTTCTTTAATGAAACGAAAAAAATAGTATAGCATGCACAATACAATAAAATTAATGAGGACGTTTTTACGAAAACTACCTTGTGGATCACCGGTGGAACGTTTTCGTACAGATTTTCCACCTGGAGATGGTAGCATGTGTAAGATGGAATGATAATGATTAACCCGAGTCAGAAATTGTTTAGATATTTAATTAAAAAAGGAAAAATCACACAAGTCAAAGAGTTTTTTATTCGACAAAAATGTGAACTACTCTGAAAAGTTTCACACGCTAAAACTGCCAAAAGCAAACTAAGCACTAGATCAGCAAAAACAATATCAACAGAAGAAAAAAGAAAGATACCTGAGACTGAAGTTTTGGATAAAGTTCCAGGTTTGCGTTCGATGCCATCAGCAGCGGAGTTGGACATAGCAGTAGTCAGAATAACAGATGGAAACCTGGAAACTAAATCCAAGGATAGCAATAAGACCAATGAGAATAAAGTTAGTGTGATATATCACTGGTGATTTGTTTAATGGATTGGGTAGTCCAGTAAAAAAATAACAATGATACATCAGTTTAAACTATCAGAACTGGTAAACAGGGTAAACGAATACGGGAAATAAGGTTGTATAAGTAGGGAATCCATTGGTAAATGATGCCACAAAACTTAAGAAAATGAAAAGCAAGAATAAATAGTGAATGTTTGCTAGTTTAACCTAATAACTGTAGTCATCTAAGCTCATCACATTTTACACTAGGTTCTAACTATCTCGCGTAATTTGACAAAGTTTATTTCAATGGGTCTCAAATTAACCTTACATTTCCGATATTTTATGACTTAACTATTGAGGCATTGTTAATCCAATAACGCGTAGTTGAAAGTTCTTTACATCTGTAAAATTAAACGGTGAGGAAATTTGTATTTAGAGGGTAATCTGCAATTTAATCGAAATTTTCCAACCGTGAAGTGGTCGAACGAGGACTACTGTTATTAACACTAAACAGTATCTCAGTCATATGCAGCGTGGGATTTGAAACATACAAATTGAAGTTGTCACTTTATATTAGCACAGTGGGATGAAATTATCAAGACATTTCAGAATAGAAAAAGTGTCAGCACTAGCAGAAACGACAAGGTATAGATAATATGATTCGAGGAGATTGAATTTATGCAACGAAAAGAAGTACATAATAATTTAAGAACTCAAGATCTAAGGGAAGATGAAGAGCGAATGGACTTGAACCATTTTGACTAATTCTGAGCCATGTCATCTAACATCTCTTTTTACCGACTGGTTACGATAATTGCAGAGACCTCAACCAGATGATAATCATTTTGTCTACATGGGTCAGTTCAACTGTTCAGGGCTTCGTAGACTGATAGAGCGGTAGCTTAGTGGTTAAAGCATCCGACTTCTGACAGTCATGTCCGAAACCCACCGAACCTACGTCGGTTTGAAAAAACCGGATAGTTTCAATCGTCGGTTCATTTAGTGTGGCTCATACTCAAGTGACTGGTGAACGGGTTTATTATTTATTATAATTTTACTTTTATAAACTGATGCCACATAGTGACTTGGCCGCCACAAGCTTTCTTTCAGCTTATATCAGACATCGCCCTTTCCTGCACCAAGCCATCGATGGACTCAAATAGACCATATTGCCATCAGTCATCGTTGGAGCGGCTTGATAGAAGGCTGTCGATCTTTCTGGTGTGCATGTTTAGACTCGGATCATGCGTTAATACGAGCATGCATTTGTTTGCACCTCATTGGACGCAGAAAAGCCACACTAAGAAGACTTATTAGAATTGAACTCGGTGACGAGAAAGCCAAAAGCAGATTTCAGAAACTGAGATCATTTTTGGGTAATTCTGAAAACGAGGCTGACCTAGATGTTGCTTGGAAAGATGTACAAACAGCAGCAACATATGTTCGTGATTTGAACCAAAGGGTCACGAAAAATCAGTATATTTCTACTAAGTCTATTGCGCTGATAGATTCTCGTAAACTCATCCTATCAGGCTCTGAACACGATGAAGAGCGTAAACAAATCAGATCCAGGTTAACCAAAAGTTTAAGGAACGAGCGTGGGCAGTGGTGGGCAACGAAAGCAATAGATGGAAAAGGCAGCGACTGTAAGTAACAGAGGGCAGCCATTCAGACTAATAAAAAAAACTGGGACCAACAAGTCAAGTGTGAGACGATCTCAGAAAAAGATGACACAGCCCAGACGTTTGAAACGATGGGCAGAATACTTTAGGAGGCAGTTCCGTTGGCCTTCAGCTACTATACAACCACTCTTCATTCCCAAACAGCCTGGATGGAACATTGAAGTAGGTCCCCCCGACTCTAGTTAAAGTTCAAAAAGCTATAGATAATCTGAAATGAGGAAAAGCAGCTGGCCCAGATGGGTTGGCTCCAGAGGTCTTTAAGGATGGTGGTTCAGGTTTAGCGATTAGGTTGACTAATATTTCAACTAAAGTCTGGGAACTGCATGTAATCCCATCTGTCTGGTCACAATCACTGATCATTCCAATATAAGAAGATATCAAAATCGTCCTGTGATAACGATAGAGGAATTAGCTTGACTAACATAGCATCTAAAATACTATCCTCAATAATTATCAGATGCCTAACAAAGACTCGTGAACTGCAAACACGAAAAAATCAGAATGGCTTCAGACCTGGTCGTGGCTGCATCGACCGCATATTCACCATTCGTCAGGTTTTAGAAAACAAGCATGCTTATCGGCGTCCGATAATGATAGTTTTCCTAAACTTGAAAGCAGCATTTGACTCTGTAAACCGAGAGGTTCTGTGACAGTGTTTCATTGCAAGGTGTACCTCATAAGTACATAAACCATGTGAACTCGAACACTACTAGTTAAGTGAGAGCTTGTGGCGAACTGTCATCTGATTTTGCAACCTCAAGTGGTGTCCTTCAAGGCTGTCCACTACCTTCATTTTCTTTCAATATCATAGACTTACTGGTGGAAATAACGTTCTCGTCGACTGAATTCTCGGGCACTGATCTCCTACCAGGACGTTCACTCACCGACTTAGAATACGCAGATGATATAGTCCTGTATGGGGATGCTAATAAAATGAAGTCTTTTGGTAGCACTGAGCAACAATGACAGGATGTTTGGGATGCGTTCCTCCCCCTCTAAATGCAAGTTGTTGCTTCAGGACTAGCCTGCATCAACGCCTGAACTAAGGATAGGCAGTGGAGAAGTTGGATGCGTCGACAACTTCGCTTATCTTGGAAGCCTGACCGGCTCTAGTGGGTTAGTGCTTGACGAAATCTCAGCACGGATTCAGAAAGGTCGTTTGGCTTCTGATAACTTACGTCACCTATGGCGAAGGCGAGATATCAGTCCATCAATTAAGGGACGAGTATATTGAGCAGCAGTTTGTTCTGCTCTACCTTACGTCTGCGAAACGTGGCCATTAAGAATAGAAGACACTCGTAAGCTACTAGTATTTGATCACAGATGTCTTAGAAATATTTCTCGTATCTGCTGGGATCACCCAGTAAGTAATAGTGAGGTTAGACGTAGGGTATTAGGGAGTGATGGTGAATCAGTTGGTGAGGTTGTAAAGGAGATGGTTGGAAGGAAGTTACCAAAGTTACCAAACCAAAATGTGGCCTCAGTGCTTGAAATCACTAACTTCTAGTCTGAGCCATGTTGGGAGATGCAGACTACTTGGTTGGGGTCCGCGCGACTATCGTAACCAGTGGTTGAAGACTCTTCGTGACATGGCTCAGAATCGATCATACTCGCGTAGGTGTATGCACTTTTTGTCTGCTCTTAAACTGTAAGGTTAAAATTACTTTATACCTTTATATGAACTAATTCTTTCTTCCTGTATTATATCCGTATACACAATCTTTTTTTAATATATTACTACCATTGAAGTGACTATTTCTATTAATTTGGTGCTCATCTTGTTGTGCTAATGAGGTGTGTCAACTTGGACCGATGCATATATATGCCTGGTCCTACGTTGTAGCTGACTGACTGAGATATCGCCCGTCGAGGTAGGTAGTTAGGCATATGTAATACGTGTCCTAACCACTTCAGGTAATGAATATTCAATACCTTATCATTAAACGATTTCCCATCTTTAACTAGAACCCTATGCCTAGCCTCAACATTGTTCACTCAGTCAACCAATCACAACGTAGAACCTGGTACGTACATACATCAGTTCTAGTTACCATACCCCATTAGCGCAGACATGAAATTGTCAGGTCAAATCCCAGAGTAGTGGGAGCGGTAACAGTATGAAGATGAGACATCAAAGGTATGATACAAGAAAATATAAATTAGTGAAATAAACACAAAAGGTTATGAGGAATTTGAGAGCTCAGAATTTGGGACGGACCAATAATGAGGGGCTGGTGACAGTAGCTAGGTACTAAACTATAATTACGTAAGTTTCAACCGATAACTTGGTTTGGCCCCAGAATTATTGGAACTTAACATAACTAGTCCTATAAAGGGGATAGAGCTATTTATTTTGGAACTGGATAGATTTGTATTCACAATACAATAACCAAACTGAGTTAGGACACAAATAAACAGATATACTGACTAGCAAACATAAAACTGGGTATATCATTTCTCTCTGATAAATAACTCATGAATATAGTAGGTAAACGAAAACAACTAAGTGAACTGAAATAGATCGATGCCGAACGATTGATAAATAAGAAATAATAAATCTTAAGAGTAGGTAAAATTGAGCACGATTGTCAATATTATTGATGTTATCCTTAATCGGAGAGTAAATGGAGTATGGTCTGAACCAGAAACCTGCAAGTCAATAGGTCATACGCAACGTAGAACCAGGAATATGTGTACAGGGGTTCAAATCGTTAGTTTCAGATATTAAAAAACCACTCCACACATTTCTACTGCTGAAAATCAGAATGCTGAGGAGAGTTCTCCACAAACATTTGGTAAATTATCTGCCTTGACTCCATGACATTTAGAACAGTAGCCTAACGATCGCAGCAATTGACAGGTTCAGGAATTGCTTTGATTATTAGCGCAGTTGTACCGGCCTTCAAACAGTATGGTTCATATCCAAGTATATAAACCTGTACTTGAAGCTACATCGAGTTTGGGGATTAAAAGACTGTGTAGTGAAGCTAAAAAAACCAGTTACATTGGGAATAGGTCAACCTAGTTATGAGGCAAGTCAGAAAGGATGGAGATAAGTCTATTACAAACGCATATTTGGTTACACTAAATTGATTCCTTCCAGTTTATTTTGAGCATTTTGATAAATCACTAGGAACCTCGTGTAAAAATTGAAAAGGGTCAAGAAGATACGAGCCGGATTTTGTTTCAGAAACTTTTTGTCCTACGAAGTCTTTCAAGTGAATGTGTTTTCCGGACAATGTACGGTCGGTACATGTATTTTTCTTTACGAAACCTTTACTGAGTTGTCAGCAACTCTCTTCCAGATCTGTACACAGGCTGCTGTGTATACCACCTATGCACACAACGTCGATTCAGGACGCAATCCTGTTTAAGTTGGAAGTTGCAAATCTATCTGAAACTTTTCGGTGTTAGTGAAAGGTGCACCTTTCACTAATACTATTTTTATGTAACCCATGGGTTACATAAACAGCATTTTTCGAGTCCATGTCATTTTCCCTGGAAATAATTAGATCGTTAGCCAACTTTAACACTGGAAAGCACTTATAAAAGGTACCTTTAGGATTCTAAACATGAGTCTGTTATTCAAAAGTGAATTTGTGTTACAGAAACAATATTTCACTAGATTATAATCTAGTTATAACCAAGTATGATCAATGCAAGACCAGCCACGGGTTCGGATATTAGGTTTGACAGATAATTCAACAAATGTGTGAAAATAAAGTTTATAAAACTACCATTTAAGGACTTCATATGTAAAAAAATAACAGCAATACCTACTTTGACTACCACACAGTTAATAACGTAAAGATACGCGGGACAGTTAAAAATGGTCACCAATGTGTCATTTGCTCAAATAATTGAACATTGAAATTATACTATCTGGATATCCGGTTAACATACTCCTTTGCGATATTTCAAATAACTCTATCTCTCACTACTATGCTATTATTAACTTCCCCATCTATTACATATGTCAAAGCGCTTTGTACAAATGTTTAATCTGAATCTGATCTGAATTTGAACCATTTGTACTTGAATGTGCTGTTCCTCCAAACTTAAGTCACTACTTTTCTTATTCGTCTCCGTGATATCATTCTGATTTAGATGTCGATCAATCCTGCCTTAACAAGCGTATGTTCACTGGTTAGCTTATTATTTGGCATTTGGCGATTTTCGAGGTTTTTATATTTCAAATTACATTATGATTATATTCCCTGACAGAAATTATCAATATAACATCATATTTAGAGGGTTTTATGCCTTAAATTCTTAATTACTAAATATACCTCCAACAGAATCTATGTGTTTACAACCAACCCCATATCAGCCTTATCGAAATACAGTACAAACATTCATATAGTACATTAGCGGCACACTTTTCGTCCTCGATATTTTTTATGTTAATACCCTTCATGTGGATAGTGCTGAAGAGCTTTAGCACGTACACTTAATATTGTAATGGGTTCAGTGACTGTGTAAAGCTGTGAGTTCAGGTAAGGAGACAACTACTTACTAGTTGAAAGTTTCTATTTCTCAGTTTAACGCAAGCAGTTAGCCAAGTTTAGCAAAAAGGAATTTAACCAATTTGTAATTCCTTTTAAGTATAACCTGACGATTTAATCCGGTGGTCACTTCAGCCGCACAATGTCATGTTTTATAGTAATGGTACACAATAAAGAAAACAACAATATATCTAGAGACGGCCACTAAGGCAGACTTACCAGTTCAGATGTTTAGTAATATTCAACCAACTACATTTCTCACACGAAGCTTGGTAGGACCTAGAACTGCGGTTCATACTTATTGATTTATCTATGTTACTTGACAAATTAACTTGATATATTGTAGTTGATTGGTCATGATGTGACACTTAATCCGAATGATCTTACTTCAGTCATTGTATATCCATGCTGGCTTTATCATGACAGACAGTATTACACCAAACAAAGTTGTTTGGTGGCTAGCGGTGGAAACCAACTTATGTGAATTGGGCTGAGAAACTAATTTGTAATGACTTTTTGAAGAACAAACGCAAGCTTACAGATGGAATTAATATTTCCTATCAGGACAGTAGGTTTATGAGGTGATTACGTTTGCCAAAAAGTCTCGATAATCATCCTAAGTTTATATTTATTGATTCCCAATGTTTTCCGTCCGCAATTCAGCGTCTAGTATGAATTTTATAAGTTAGTATACATTCGTTTTGAGATACCATGTAGAAAGACATCGGTTATACACCACCGTCAACAGATTTTCGCAGATCAGCTATTTCGAAAAGAAAAAGGTTCACTAGTTTTGCTATTGTTTATAAGTATAAATTTTAGAAAATATTGATGTCAGCACACCATCTGGTTGTAGCCAAGGTTAAACTGAAGCTAGAGAAGCACTGGACAACTGGACAAGTCACATCACAGAGGTTTATTACAACCTTTCTTCGAGGTACTGTCAAATTCAACGAATTCAAGATAACTCTAAACAATAGGTTTCAAGCCTTACAAACTAGTTGGAGGACATTTGAAAAGTGATCAAAGAAGCACTAACATCAACATATCACGAGGTTCTGAGCCGCAAGAAGCATCGTCATAAGGGATGGGTCTTTACCGAAACCCTGGAAAAGACTCGAGAAAGAAAGAACAAGAAGACAGCAACTAACAGCAGTCGAACAAAAGAAAGTCAAGTTGTAGAATTATGGTCTACTATGATATTAGTACTGCTCTAACAATAGACCTAATCCTAAAATTGTAGATTTGTCATGATATAACTGCCTAATCTATAAGATCTTACGTGGAAGTCACATCATCGACACCAACTCACCGTATCGTAACAACTACCAATACATGATGAACAAGCTTAGGCTAGAGAAAGAACAATATATTTAATATGAATAGGAGATATAAGATAACATCCAGCAGGGACCACGCCTGCATGGCCGAGCCATGCCACTCGATCAACTCCCGTCCATTCAATTCACTATTCGCGCCTTCCCCATCGTTGGGTATTTCTCCGCGTTAAATATTGAATATCTATTTTCTGTGTAGTCTCGTGTTCACAGCTTTGTGGATTGTGTGGCTATTGTCCAATGCCACTACACTACTCTCCCACCAGAATCAACGTGATGTTGGTTCGACACCAAACTGGATGGGATCGTCGCGCGCCGGAGGTTACCAAGAATAGGTAGAATTCTCCGGGTAATGATAAGCTGAAAGATAAATCAAAAAGAAGGCGGCAGCATCTGGTCGGGAAATACATGTAATAATTTTAAAAAAAATCTGCCTTCATGCTTGACACGCTTAAAATGAAAATTTGGGTGAAGATTATTTGAGCTATAAAAAATGGGGTTACAATAATAATAATAATAAAACGATGCGTGTTAATAGCCGTTGGTTAATAACTTAACGTATAGGTAGTAAGTATTTTGTGTTTAGAAATATTAAAGTGATGAATATTGTAGAAATGTTAATATTGGTATTAGTTTTGGTTTAAATTATGAAATCAAATAACGATTATGCCGGTTAGTTGTCCATATGAGTTGAATTCCAATTGCATCTGTATTAGTAGGCTAACTGAAGGAACAAAAGTATACCGTGGAGAAGAATTCCAACTAGTGTTCCAGTTAGTTTGATACGGTTTATTTAGTTACGGGGAGATTTTCTCAATCTGATTTTTACTTGACCGTGATAGAATTTAGTAATACTACTAATACACATGAATGGTTATCAAAATAAAATTTAAATACATGATAATTATATGAATTTTGGACAGATAGCTAGGAACAAATCGTTAAACATGAGTGTATTCGTAAGAGACATGCTCTGGACACAATGTTCTGATCTGCGGCAGACTATTTATTTATATTTATACTTGCTGGCTGATTGGGCATACAAGTTAGTTGCAAGTATGCAGTTTATCATAAGGCGGAATACGATTTAATTGAGATATAGTGGTTATAAGTTATTAAAATCAGTTAGGCCTGTGTCATATTACGAGGTGATGTGGTGCTGCAAGATGTATTTAGCTAAATAAAATTTTACAAGATGATTAATAGTGAGGGATGCTCATGTGATTATCAGAGAGAACATAAGTTGTAACCAGGGGGAGTACACTCCCAACTCATGTCTATGATAATGGCTTGAACCTTAGTCAGTGTTGGGGTAAATTCGACATTGATATTTTCAGTTTGCAGGAGATTTGCTCGACTGCTTATACTGATTATTTGCATGCATGATTGTGTCGCTAAACCATCAATTAGACTGACAAGGTTTTGAGATATTTACTGAATGAGCAACTGATAGAGAAACATACTGTAATCATCTGTGATGGATGAAGATACCAAGAAAACAACACCATTTAATGGTAATTATAAGTCAATTTGTTGACCCATTTCGTTAATAGTTTCATTAATTTTATCAGTCATATTACGTGATTGTCAAGTTATGACAATGCTTTATGCCGATATCCTGAAACTATTAAATTTAATTAGTTATAGTGTTGATTGAGGATTAGTCAGTGGAAAAATAGGTATTGTTGCTTTAAGTGATTCGAAATCATCAGAAATTTACAACGTTAAAGAATCCGAGACGCCTAATTTAATTATAAATTTCAATTCAGAAATATTCGTTTAGTGTTAATTCTAGTAGGCTACGGAGTTTTTATTTCAAGTGTTTGCTTAGCCAACAGCTACCTGAGGATTGAGTTATTTTACTGGTACAATTGATAGTACCTAAATTTTTAATCTTATTGTTTAAACTATGTTCGCATTTTAGGCTGCTAATATGATAAATCAATCCATAAACCCAAATACGATTAGCGACAACAACTATGATGGGTTTATTGATAAATGTTAAAGGCGATCTAGATGATTTCTAAATTTATAAGACATGGAGATATAGTGTGACGTATGTATGGGCCAGGTTAACATGCAGGTTGTTGACGTATATGACGATTTAAAAATAATGAACATGACCAGAAAATAATTTTAAAGTTAAGACTGCTTGTGAAACTTCAGGCAGGAATATGATGCGTTATAAACCTTCCATAAGAAGTTACTGCATTTAGCTTAGTGACACTTACAAATATATGGCAAAAGCAACTGAAAAACATATACATGTTAAGTACAAAAAAAATCATCCAGTAAAATAGTTGAACTCGCCTTGATTATTTTTGAAAATTATATTATTCAGTGTACGACATATATAACGCCATTTGTAAGAAGTAGTAATGATCCAAAAGTATCCAGAATAAAACATGCAGTATGGAAATTAATTCCAGGGTGCTTGATGGTGTTGACGTTTCTGCCACTCGCTCGGATTAGAACAATCGAATGAATTCAGTTAATTGTGTGGTTGTTATTGAACGAGCCATCTAAAATGATCTTATGATTGCAGAAAACCTATAGATGAAACTCACCGTATGTTTTTGGAGAAGTGTCATCCTTGTTGTTTGGCAATAGAACTCGAAAATATGAAATTAGGCAGGCAGTGGTCAGAAGAAAAGATATTACAGGATAGTGCATAGTTTAAAACAGGATGAGGTGTTAGGTGAAGGAACACTGATAATTAGATCCCGATAACTATTTAGTCCTTGATTGCATTGTTAGTCAATGTATACTTACGCTATTTGCAGGTCATATTTGCTAGAGCTTGATGTTTAAACAAGTCTATGTTGCTGAAGCATGTAAATGCTATTAAAGCTTGTTAACGAACAATCAAAGCTAATTAGTTGATATAGATGATCAACTTTTATTATCGATTGAGCTAGTAAGTTATGTGAACTAATAGATATAACATTACGATAATATATGTGACCATTAATCAAAGGACTATTAGAATAGTGGGTTTACAAAAATAAAATTCGATTGAGAAGGTTAAGGTGGAAATAAGGATTAACAATAATAGGTTGCGTTTCTTTAGTTGGGCTCACCAATGTAGAATTATGGTCTACTATGATATTAGTACTGCTCTAACAATAGACCTAATCCTAAAATTGTAGATTTGTCATGATATAACTGCCTAATCTATAAGATCTTACGTGGAAGTCACATCATCGACACCAACTCACCGTATCGTAACAACTACCAATACATGATGAACAAGCTTAGGCTAGAGAAAGAACAATATATTTAATATGAATAGGAGATATAAGATAACATCCAGCAGGGACCACGCCTGCATGGCCGAGCCATGCCACTCGATCAACTCCCGTCCATTCAATTCACTATTCGCGCCTTCCCCATCGTTGGGTATTTCTCCGCGTTAAATATTGAATATCTATTTTCTGTGTAGTCTCGTGTTCACAGCTTTGTGGATTGTGTGGCTATTGTCCAATGCCACTACAAAGTCACAAGCTGAATACACTGAACCAAACAAGCAAGAGAAGAAAAGCATCTGAGCCGACAAGCAGAAATATGTAAAAAAAAACTAGCAACGACAGCAGGAAAAGCTGAAACAGGTGGAAATACCAAATAACTTGATGAAACATCAAAGAAACTGGAGGGGAATGTAGTTAATCATAGCGATTTTTCAAGGACAAAGTAGGCCAAGCAGTCACTGAGAGTTGAGAACTGAGGAACATATGGATAGAATAATTCGAGGAACTCTTGGATTGACCAGCTCCATTGAATCTACCGGACACCGGTGTAGCACCTACAGACCTTATTATTAATGTCACTCCACTAACGATGGAAGATATCATGATGGCTATTAGATAAATCAAGGGCGGGAAAGCGGCAGAACCTGAAAATATATCAGCTGAAGCAATAAAGTCAGACAAAGAAATAACTTACTAGTGCCAAAAGATTGG